CTGTGACCTCTTATGTCTTAGTTTCCCATCTCACAGTTTTTGAGATGAGAATTGTGGTTTGGGAAGGACTGTGTCAATTAAAATATGTTACAAGGCAATGAATGACGCGCACTTTCTCTGTTAGTATTGTATATTACTGTATTATTATCACAACATCTAGAATCAGTCTCCAGTTGGTGTGCTTGGTACCTTGGAGAACCTGTTCTCAATCAGCTCACAGTCTAGTATGGAAATCAGAACAAATAATTTTAATATAATATGCCATGGGCAATGAAAAATGGCTCTACAGATGCAGAAGTAGGAGTGGGGAAGAAGACAAATTTGGGACCTGGCCAGCGACAGTCTCAGAGGTCGAGGGAGTTCACTTCCATATCTTTTGAGGCTTCTGATATAATAAATACTAAACTTTAAATTAAAAAGTGTCTGGCATGGAAGTTATGCAATCACATTTTGAATTCAGAAGGATTAGCAGCTGACCTTTGGCACTGTGTGGACTTTGGCAAACTACTTGTCTCTCTGAGCTTTGATTTTCATATCTTCATGCAAGTCTAATAACCAGGGTGTGTGAGGGACTAAATTAGATGATATATATCGAACCTTTAGTATACAGCACTTAACACGTATTAGCTCCTGTTCCTATTCTTCTGCTGAGTTTTGAGCACTACCTTGGTCTTCTTTGTGCTCCTACTTCCATATCTACAGCAGGGGCATTCACTGATCTCTACTGTACTGCAGTTGAAGGCATGCAAAGAGACAATAGCCTTGGATGCTTTTCGAAAGTAAAAAGCACTGTCTAAACCAGGGGTGTCCAACCTGCGGTCCATGGGCCACACGCAGCCCAGGATGGCTGGAAACATAGCCCAACACAAAATCATAAATTTCTTAAAACATTATGAAATTTTTTGTGTGACTATGTGTCGCAACATATTTAATGTGTGGTCCGAGACAACTCTTCTTTTTCCAGTGTGGCCCAGAGATGCCAAATGTTACAACTTTTAGTGGCCGTCCAAGAGATTAATCATGCAGTAGCCTTCTGTATAGCTCTTTATGCAGGACTTGGAATGTCTGCCTCTTAGGTTCAATTTGCACATCTGCTACTGCAAGGGATCTGAGACTCTTCGCAGCCCCTGTAGATTCTAGCTCTCAACTTTAATTTTTATTCCCCCACTGTCTTCTCCTCATAGTCTTCCACCAAAGCAGGGTCCTTTATTTCATTCCTCTTCTGTCACAGTTCAGCTTTATTTATTGCTGACATGTTGTTTTTGCCCACAGACCATTGTCCCCTTCCCCAGCCATCTGTCATGAGCAGGAAAGGAACGTCTATTGCTTGGGTGAAGACTGGGTTGGGGTCATTGGAAAGTTCTTTAGGAATGAAATATGGCTTAAAATTTTCATTTATATGGCTTTAATAGTATTTTATGATTGAAGTTGAATTCAGGAATGTTCCCTGGCTTTTGAACTTTGCCACTCTTAATTCCCTTTGTTTCTACAGTTGTATTGCCAGTGTTTTGTTGTTGATTTTTGCCATTATTGTTTTTGGCCTTAGCTCCTTGGCAAGCCATAGGACATGGCAACTTCTTGGCCACCAAAGGCTTGCAGCAGGGCAGCAGAGACCGGGAACATATTTCATCACTAGCTCTTTCTTAAAGACTAAAGTAATGCAAAATTATTTTAGGGGGTCAAGAACTCCAAAGCAGAGGAAAGTAAATTCAATTAACATACGTTACCTAGAGGTTCTTGCATCATTACAATAAACCACAGTAAAAAAAGCTCCACCCAAGTTCTCCTCAGATCAACCATTCTCTACAATAACAGTATCAATAAAATTTTTCTTGGAAGAGACTGGGTTGGGGAAATATTTTAGTGAGCATGACCTTGTTGAGATGGTAAATGTTTGTTAATTCCTACACAGAACCAACTCTTCCTGCATGGTTTTCTCTATTACTCCAGCTTGAATTTTACCAGTTAGGTTTTACCCTTCAATTATAAAAGCTGTTTTTATTGTCAATGTCAAATGCCTTGTCAATTTTTTCAAAATCCAGTTGTAGAACCTCTTCCAGATTTTAATTGGTTTGGTTTAATTAACTTTAATAATATTTTATAATAGTATTATGTTAGAAAATCATGTTCTGTCCTTTTTTCTATTCAATAATATTTCAGCTTTAACATTGTGATGACTTGTGCTAAGGTCTGACTCTAAAATTCACTCTGGCCCTGGCTGGTGTAGCTCAGTGGATTGAGCGCGGGCTGCAAATCCAAGGGTCGCCAGTTCAGTTCCCAGTCAGGGCACATGCCGGGTTGCAGGCCAGGTCCCCAGTGAGGACCACACCAGAGGCAACCACACATTGATGTTTCTCTCCCTTTCTTTCTCCCTCTCTTCCCACTCTGTAAAAATAAAAGAATTAATTAAAAAAATAAAAAATAAAATTCACTCTGATATTTGCTTAACAAGTGCACGTCTCCAGACATGCAAGGTGCAAAAATAAAAGGAATACCATAATCACACCAAATGCTGAAAGTTCTACTGAAGGTTCTATCTCTGGGTGGGAGATGGCCATTGCATTCACTGGCTCCTGAGTAGCTTTCATATTTGTCCATGTTTAGGTGTAGACAAGTCCTCCTGGTGAATAATAGGAAGACCAGGTGAAATTCCAGCCCTGTCCTATTGTGCTACATTACTTTTAAACTTGGGCTTTGGTTTTTTTTTGTTGTTCGTCCCTGCAGTGGCCCTTCCAGCTCTAACATTTTATGATTGTGAAGGATGTACCAGCAAAATTACTAAGCGATTACTTCAAATTGCAGTATTTTATTTAAATTGTTTTTATTGATTTTAGAGAGCAGAATGGAGAAGATAGAGAGAGACAGAGATGGCTTTGTTTTTCTACTTATGTATGCATTCACTGGTTAGTTCTTGTGTGAGCCCTGACTGGGGATCAAACCCACAAACTTGGTGTATCAGAAGGACGCTCTAACCAGCTGAGCTACCTGGCCAGGGCTCTTTTTCTTGAGGAGGAAATTCCATGAAACAAACAGCTACTTTGAAAAAAAAAGTCTAGCCTCTTAGGTCAAATTATCTTGTTAACCTAATTATTTGAATTCAGAAACTGTTGAAAGAGATTGCTTGGATTTCATATGTAACTCTATTATTGTACTTAAAAAATAAATATATCTGTAAGTGGTAGAAAATGAAGTATTGAAGTTGTGAAGGGCAGTGGTTTTTCAACTGAAATATGAAAAAGGCAAAAGGGCAAAATAATAATCCCGGAAGTTGGCACAGCAGCTCTTTACGGAACGTCACGCTGCCCACCAGGGTGTGAGTGCAAGGAAGGGCTCACGGTGATTGGCGGGGCAGTGCCCCTGAGAATACACAGGCACTGTGGGTAATCGATGACAGTGTGGTTGCTAATGAACTGATGAACCAAAACCAAAAATTTAGTTGACCTGAGAGTCTATTCTATGTGCATAAAGCCCTAGGTAGCCAACTCAGCACTCACAGGAATAAAGGTTGACAACTGTGTTCTTTATGATAACAACCCAGAAAATTTTTCTCATTTAAAAACAGTCAATTTTGACCTTTCTCCTGAGCGGAAGGATGGCAGAAATTGATAAATGAGGAACAAGTGAACAGAAGACAGGACCTTTTCCTTGAATAAACAGCGGTTTTATTCCCATACTACTGAGAATGTTTGTAAAATACCATATAGAATTTTTGACCACAGTTACAAATATGAAAATATATTAAGCAAATACATAATTTAAATAGAAAGACTAATGAATTTCCTTGTTCAAATAGAGTTGGTTAGAAACACAACATGTGGGGGAGGCACTATAGTATGAAAAAATAGAGTCATCTACTGCCATTTTAAATAAGCAGATTTGCAGAGGAAGCATACATGATATTAAAACCATAAAAGTGCTGTGTATTAGAACATAGTAAGTTCAGTTACTGGATTTTTTTACCTTATTTATTTAAGCTTCACACACACCAAGGAATAGTCAGATGAACCTCTATGGGTAATAGTGTTACTAGATACTGACCACTTCCCATCCAAAGTATTGGGCTAGGAGCAATTTCCACTCAACAAGTGTATGTTCTTTATCTATGAGCTGTTCACTAATTTCTACAAGGTAGGAGGAGAGATTAAAGATTTTGTTCTTGTCCTTGCAGAACTGATGAGCCTGACGAGTCCCTCTGAAAGAGCAGAGATCAAGAACCCTTCAGGCAAGAATATCGGTGCACCTGGTTGTTGGTGTGGCTGACTAGGAAACTGCACACAGGCCAGTGCAGACTCTGCCTCCAGCTTGCAGATGGATAGTCCAGCTCTCCCACAAACTCCTAAAGCCACAATTGCACATATTCCTTTCTTGTTGAGATGCTTATCTACTTACTCAGCTATTAAAGTACAACATCTCTAACATAACAGAAAGTTAACTCTTAGGGTAAAAATAGCATTTCTTAAAAAAAATTACTGAAGGCAGAAAACAGCCATAACTAACCTTTCTTGTGAATATTCTAGAAAGGACACATTACATTTGTCGGACATTATTCACAGTTTTGAACAACTTATTTTGGTCTCTAATATAAGGTCATGTACACTGGCATGTAAATTATAAAAATAATCTTTGGTAAATCTGTTAAGAGATTTCTTTTATTTCCATGACCTAAACCTCCATTTCAGGAACATTTACCAACAATTTTCTTATTTTATGAATGTATCTATATAGACAACCTTTAAAACAACAAAATGCCTTCTTATTTATATTGCATGTATTTATTCCGAGGGAGCCTCCCTACGAGCGAAGAGTATTCTTTGGGTCAGAAATATTTCCATTGCTAGAAACATTTTTAGAGCAGAACAGTTTTGTGCTGTTATGGCTGCATCATGTGACCCTGCACTGTAACTAAAAGGGCCAAACATTTTCAAAGGCTGCATCCACTCCAAAAATCTCAACTAATGTGTTCAGAATTTCAAAGTCAATCAACTGAGTCAAACACCTGGTCAATTTACAAAGCTAAAGGAATCAACTCAACAGTTTAATCAGGTAAATCATCTGGCCAACACGATCAAAGTGAATTAATTCCCCGAAGGGTAACAGGCCCTAACAGAGACGCGGGAGGTTTTCAAACAACAGCCTGGACGCACAGAAGAGCTGCCGTTTTCTCTTCCTGATGATGTCTGGTTAGATCTTTTCAAATATTTCCCCTCCTTTGCATCATGGCACTTGTTCTCGGCAGTCACCGTTTACAGATTTTCCTTCTACGTGAAACATTCTTTGGACACCTGACGTGATTTGAAGTCTTGGGTCAAGAATACTCAGAAGCTCGGGGAAGGCGGGCTGAGAAGAGCCTTCTCTGCTCTCACTCTTCAGAAATGAGGTAGGGTTGCAGCCTTGCTCACAGCCACCTGCTCACCACTCAGTTTCTGCTGATCAATTGCTTTCATTTCCTCAGTGAAAAGGAACCTGGCAAGTTCTTGAACTGCTACCTCAAACAAGCAGTTTATTACCTGTTGTTTTTCACCAGGTCAAGTTCACTCTGGCTCATGCGTGTGAACCTGAGTTTGGAAGACTCCAGAGTTGGGGCCCAGACCCTACTGCTCACTGTCAGATCTGGCAGGTTATGGTTTCAGGATTCCAACCTCAAACACCCAGAAAGTTGAGTGAATGCGGACTTAGTATCTAGTGGATAATCTTCTTGCAAAAGGTAGGAAGAATGTTTAATAAGGAGCTGCTTCCTGAGACACTAAGGCAAGAGAATCAGATGGTGAAGTATTAACATATGAGGTCTATTTTTATATTCCTGGGCACCTGCTTAGCAGTTTTACATTATTTTCACATGTCATTTCGGGTTTTCTTCCAAGAGATAATGAAAAATTAATTAAAGGTCCTCCCAAGTAAAACTGGACCCCAAATGTCTGTGCTGTGGTCATTTTAGTATTTATAAGTGGTCTTGGATGGAGCCTGAAAAGACTACAAAATACTAATGAATATGAGGAGATAAAATGAACAGAAAATAAAATGAACAGATTGGGAAAGCAAACATATTCCAAAGGAAGCAGGGGCCAAGTAGTAAAAAATAGGACCTCATAATCTCTAAAGAACATTAAATCACTCAGGACAAATATGTGCAGGCCCAGATAGGGAGGTAAGTCTTTTAAAAAATCTGATTTAAGAGCTGAAAAATTGGCTGCTATCCAGAGAACAACTGAATGATAAGACAAAATTGACTTAATGAGTAGAGATTAAAGGAGTTAAAGAACCTGGATAAATAATTATTAAGATGCAAGATGGGCCTCTCTCAAGATTCGATAACTCCAAAGCACTTTGAAGATGGATGATTAAAGTGTATCTCACAGGTGCACAGTCCGGATGCCCAGCACGACAGGAAATGGAGTGTTTACCGAGACATAACCTATGATGGAATTGAATTAAAATATAGCCAATTGAGCTGAATGTCAAGAAAACCTTTTTTCCCCCTTCCTAAATTTAATAGATAAACTAGATTATGTATTTAGTCTTTGGTGGTGGCAGGAGGAAAGTTAGTGAAATAATTCTTGCCGAGGAAATTTAAAATTAGGTGGAGGGTAAGAATAAGTATTTCCTGGATTAGACCAAAAGAACATAGAGTTTTCCCTTGTCATGTCGATTTCCACAGCTCTGATTCCACCCTAGATACACCAGGGTATGTGAGTGTTATCTGCTGCTCCAGGTGTGCAGGTAGTTACCGTTTCAATTCTTGCTTTGTGTAATGAATTGATGTCCTTCCTAGACGCAGTGGTTTGCTGTGGAAGCAGCAAGGGCACTTGCCAGCATGACCCCGGGAAGCCTGCCCTGGCCTGGCTCGGCTCCCTCCCTGTCTCCCCGAGGGCCCTCTTCAGGATTAACCGAAAATGGTCACAGGAACCCTATCTTGGTTATTGTGCAGCATTCTTTACGTCATTAGAAATGTGTAGTTTCTAAACACTGCCTAGCAGGTTGCAGGCACTCAGTGAAAGTTTTCTGGATGAACAAAAAGCCAAAATGGATTTGTCTTTCTGTGGATTCATGTGTTTCCTGTTGAGCAACATTAGTCTAAAATTTCGCTTATTTTTCTTCTTGCTTTAATCTGCCACTACAATCTTCTGATGGAAAAACCAGTATGACTGGCATGATTTTGATTTTTCCAGGAGTGCAGCCCACTGGAAATGAGACAAAGACCAGTGTGCTTACTTCTACCAACACATCCATTACCATCAGGGCATGCGCAGTGCCCCTCCACCCCACAATGCGGTGACATCATCTCCTGTCCCTGTGGGGGGTGCGTTGCATGATGACTCTATTTCCAGTCAGGGTTCCAGGTGGCATTCTCCTTGATGTAAGGAATGAGCTACTTTTGTCTGCATCCCTCTCTATGGACACCCTCCACCCTGCAGCCCTGACTCGCACTGCAGGCCCCAGGCTTGACCTCTGGCAGGAAAAAGGGGAGAGAGCAACCGCTTCTGGCTGAACCACCTCCTTCAGCTTTCATGCTACTCAGTACCTTCCTCCTCTTCCCAGTCCTTTCTGTGACTGTCCTATCTGTCCAAGCAGCGTTTGGATCATCTTTGGAGCCCAAGATTCACAGGACTGCAAGCAGCGAAGCCAGCACACTACACACTCTCTCCAGCCCCATCCTTTGTCCTGTTCGGTGAATATCAAAACCGGTAAAAAGCACGGCCCCAGGAGTCGCCTCTGCGGCTACCCCACCCCCTCGTACAGCAGTCCTGTCATACAGGTTGAATTTGTTTATGTAGAACAACCCATGAACACTTTAGTGTGGAAAATAGCATTATATAAAGCTTAATATTAAACATTATGAAAAATACATATTTACAGAAGAAACTACAAAATACAACTATGTACAATAATATCTGTTACTTTTAAATTACATAAATTCTTTAAAATTCTCCAGATTAATAAATTATACATAGTATCAATAGAAATAGCTGGCACCTCTGTAGAGCATAAAGTGAGTTTTTAAAAAATCACATGGTGAATAGCTTTTATCCAGGATATCTTCGGGCACATTCTCAATGCCTTGAATAGCCCACATCTGAAAGGAAGGACACTGTGATTAGGGACTGTACCGGGGTGTGCCACACTTGCTTGTTCTATGTATGAAAATTACACATGGGAAAGGCTAGTGAAAATGACTAAAACTCAGTATAGTTTAAGATGACTACCTCTGTGGGGTGCTTGGTCATTCCATTCAGAACCATCTAGAATTGTAAAGGACTTGTGATCCGGTCCAAACCCTGGGGTTTCACAGACGAGCCCACCGGCCCAGAGGGGCAGCAGAAACCGTTCAGGATCACACAACTGAATGCCAGTTAGTTCTAGAGCCTGACCCAAATCCTAACTTTCAGACGCCTGAAGTTAACTATGCCACCATCAGGTTCCTTCAGGAGCAACCAGGATTATTCTTGGGCGGGGGTGGGGAGGGTGGGGAAGACTTTCAAACAAGTCAAAACAAGACGAAGGATCTGACATGCAAAACCTCAATTTACTGTACAGATGAATTAAGGAGTAATTATTTACAATTATTTATGAAAGGCTTATCTGACGTACAAAGGACTCTTTTAAATAGCTGTGGTCTTCTGTATTTGTGCTTTACAACTTACCAACACTTTGCCACAACATACTGGCTAGGTGAGTGGGTACAGATGTGCAGAGAACTAAATAAAATCGAAGCTCTTTTAGAATGGAGATAAAATAGTTCTGAAATAACGTTTGTCCAAAAAAAGATGGTCTGATGTACACATGGCTGTGGGTCCATGGGACAAAGAACTGAGCCTCTGCCAGCCACTGTGTGAGCAAGTGGCAGAGGCAGGCGGACCTGGCTGCCGTCTGGACCACAACCTCGTGAGAGACCCTGGGCCAGAACCACTTTGCTAAGCCCCTTTCAAATTCCTGATCCCAGAAACTGTGAGCTAATAAATGTTGAGTTAAACTGCTGAGTTTCGGGATGATTTGCTAGGAGGTAATAAATAACTAATGGAATGTAACTTCACATTTACAGTAAAGCCTGTGTATTCAATTGGGTTTCAATGATGGTCTGGAGCGGGAAGAGGAATGCAGACCCTTCATTCGTTAAGTAAATATTGTCCGACCAAAGCAGTGCCTTATAAAGTTTATGTATTTTTTCCTCCTGAATTTTTAATTTAAAAAACGTTGCAGGCTTGCTCTAGAAAATTTAAAGAAACACATAAAATGGAAGAAAAATGATGTGTTATTTCATTGTTCTGAGAAATTTGTTTTCCTATTGTGGTGTAGTCCTTTCCAGTCTTCCCCACCACATGTTGGTTTTATTCATTTCACATTCTGCTTTTCTTCATTATTTTTAAGAATATCCATGTTTATTACAATATCCCCAAAATATCATTTTTAATGACTGCCTTGTATTCTGTTCAGTGGACATGCCATCGTATACCTAGTCCTCCACCCTAAATGTTAAACATTTAGGGTTTTTCACTCAAAATTTTAACTATGAAAAGCTTCATGCATAATGTTTTTCAGTACTTAAGGTGGTCGTAGAAATACTAGGTGACGAGATAAGAACCCATGAAGGACCTTGGTACCCACGGATTTTATACAAAGGGATTTTGTAATTCAAACTCCCAGTTTTGATTTCAAAGCATCCTCCCTGGCGCTGAGCCTTAGCGTTTAGAGGAGAAATGTGAAGCAGAGTCTGTGATAGAGGACATCCTGGGCCAGGCAGGAAGACAGAGCAGTGAAGTCAGTGCTTAATGGCGGGCGTCCCCTTCCCGCACCGTCTCTCTCCCCCACTCCCGCCCTCCGAGGGCCCGTCGGGTAGAGGGAGAAACAGAAATAAGCTCCTACCTCTGTGATACTCTGGGTTCACATTTTCGTAGATTGGAAACAGGGGGTTTTCTTGTTCACTCCGTAGCTTCCTTGCCCTGAGGACATCTCTTACACACTGATGCAGGTACACGTACTGACACTATGGAAAGGCAGAACGCATGTCAGGGGAGAGCAAGTGCTCAAATACAGAAAAGGTGAAGATTCTCACAAAACAATAGTGAGATGCTATACCATCAACATATTTCTTGATCATCACTTCACTAATGGTCTCTAGTACATAGAAGAGTGACTGCGTTCTATTACCACTGAGACCAAATGGTGGTAATGGGCAGAAAGGTGGTATTTATTCATTCTTTTATACATGCACACACAGTTATACAGCATGTTTTATGAGGACCCCCTACTGTGTCTGGCATATAGTATGTCCTCCATGGATATTTATTAAATAAACGGACAAATGCAAAACACTGCTATGCATTTTACATAAATTATTTCATTTGATTATTTTGCTAACCTTGTGAAGTAGATATAATCCTACATCTAAATTCAGTAAATTCTCCAAGGTCACACAGCTAAGAAATGGAACCCTAGGATTTCATCCTGAATGTGTGACCTCAAATGTTCTTTCACTACCCCTGTTTTCTTAGGTAAATCTTACTTGCATTGCATTATTGAGTGATAAAATCCTTTCACCATGTACTCTGCTGTTTTATTTCCTTTCTTTTGGGGGCATACAGAGAAAAAGGAGAGGTGTACAATAAACGTCACTGGACTATCGGTTCTTTGAGGGGAAGTTCAGTGTCTCATCCTTCTCGGTTCTTGCAGCATTCGATTCCGGCTCATGGAGGAACCTCACAGACGCTGGCTGATGCAGAGAACTACAGAGGGTTCCACAACGGGGACAGACCCACCTGTCAACTCTGAGAACTACCAACTTTGAAAACAGAAACAAATGCAGATGAGTCAGTGTTTGGTGGTTATGAGGACACCACAAAGCCCTCCCAGACCACAGCAGCTCAGTCACAGGGAGCTCAGCTTGTGCACTGGCCCCATTTCTGACCACCGTCTGAGCTCTGTAATAGGGGAATGTATGTCCCTGTCCCTGTAAACTTAGTGCCTTGTGCACACCTTTTTTTTTGGTAAAAATTTTATGTATTTATTTGTAGAGAGGGGAAAGGGGGGAGAAAGAGAGAGAGAGAGAAACATTGATTGGTCGCCTTTTGCACAACCCCCAACTGGGGTACTGGCTGCAATCCAGGCATGTCCCCTGATGGGGAATCAAACCAGTGACCTTTCAGTTTGCAGGCTGGTACTCAATCCACTGAGCCACACCGGCCGGGGCTTGTGCACTTGTAATGACACAGCAACTGCTCCATGGAGAGAGGAAGTTGGGAAGAGAACGCGCACCACGTGAGGGGCGCTGGGCTCTCGGCTTCATCTAGACTGAGTCATGAGGCTTCTGAGGATCTCAGTTTCTCCACCTATCAAACTAGGTGGCAAAGGTCTCCTCTACAGCTGACATCCTTTACCTTTACACCCCTGAAGGGTATAAAACTTTGTGTTGCTGTCAACTAGATGGACTCCTATGATCAAGTCAGTCCGCCTTACAGCATTTCAAAGGTTTGAGACACAAAGCGAAACCATAAGGTGTTCCCTCACCAGCTATCTTTAAAAGTGAACAAGTATTGTTCACGAGGCGCTGCTCCCGACTGGATGCTAGCTCAGTCATCTACTCAAGGGACTTTGTCATGCAGGTCGGTGAAATCACCGGGACAGTTTGAGGAAACAAAACAGTCACAAATGAGGCCTGCATTAATATTAATGATTCTCTGCCTTTCTGCTCATGATTCTTGCGCACTTGTTATGAGGCTTTTATGCTATCTCTGTCTTGAAAATTCAGGGAGGCTACTACCTTGAAAATGGTTGTTAGTACAGGCAGGGTCTTTCCTTTTTTTATCTTGAAAACAGTTCACTAAAGCACAGACAGACACCTTCTTGCTTCCTCCCATCCAGAGCATGGTTCACATTTCAATTCTCTGGAGATATTAAATTATTTTGGGACCTAGTGTTCAGTGGTGAATGAGCTCTAATACCTCTATGTTATGCCTTATTAATAAATTCTTCAACAACGATCCACCATGGGCTTTAAAACCAGTTAATATTTATTAATTTGCCTTGTCCTAAATAGAAATTCTTCTTTTCCCAATAGAATGTTCTTTGGAAAATGATTACTACTAAAACCTTCAGGTTGTTAATGTGCTTCTTACTTCATTCACAAAAAGTAGACAGTCTAATACATGAACCTCAGTCACAAAAGATCCTTTTTTTTTTTTTTGCTGTTTAGCTAATTGGTGAAGGCTTAGTTCCATTCAACTTTGCTAAAAGTTGTAATATTAGGTAATTTTTATAGAATTATACTTAAGGCCTTTTCATGGTCCATGAGTGCAGAAATTTAGCAAAGGGGTAGATATGTGAGCAAATACCTATAAAGTGATAAATGTAAGACAGAATTGTGTAGGAAGCTGCATACATAAGAAGAAGTGACCAGATTCTCTTCTGGGGGTGGCAAGTATCAAGCTAGAGAGAAAAGGAGATATTTGCATGAATTTGGGCAAAGAAGTATGACGTTCCAAAGGATGTAAATAGCATGAAGGTGCACATATATTCTGGAAACTGAGCCATCCAATGTAGCTAGAATGTAGAGTTCATGGGTCATGGGAAAACCCAGTACAATACCCCAAGTGGGCACTGAGATCCCCAGTCCTACCCCATCCCATTCTTTTCTTCTTGAGGAGAGCAGATTAGATCCATACGCTGGCTATCAGCTGTTGTTCTCCAACAAGTTACTGCCCCATCTGAACACCTCTCTAGAGTCAGTCTGCCCCAACGTAGGCTAAAAGAAGGAGGGACACACCTGCGAATTCTTTGTCTAATACCTCTTTGTTAAAAATCCTTGTTCTGTGATATATTTATTAGGACCTGGAAGACCTGCATACCTTTGTATCCCAAATAAGGTAAAGTAGAGGTTAACCATCTCTGTGAACCCAGAAACATAACCCAAGGGGTGAGAATATCCTTCCTCCTTTGCTGCAATGGTCACCCCCAGGGACTCAGCTGTGGGTCATAACCCTTCGCACGCACTGCCTGCACCCGGTAAGCCCTGCTGCGCTGGGGCCAGGGCTTTGAAGACTGTAGGAGCAGCCCGCCCTCAGCAGAGTCTCAGAGTGAGACAGATAATAGCTGGGTTTGTTTGAGATTTCATTTGCTGCAGGAAAAAAGAGGAGAGAGAAAATTTCTATCTTCTTGCAATGTTGATTTCATCATGAACGGAAGAATCAAAGTTAATTCTGCCCCTGGGAGAGAAACAACCATGGGGTGGGTGGTGTTATGACTTGAAAGTGGAGAGGTGGGCCCAGTGGCAAAGAGACTTGTATACAAGAATGAGAGTTTGAACTTCATTTTACAAGTGATGGAGACTTTCTAAGATTTTTGTGCCAGGAGCTGACACACTTGCAGGTGACAGTGGTGATGAAGAGTTGTCAGGACAGGGACTGAAGACAAGAGACCCACTGGGAGCTGAGAAAGGGCTGGGCAAGGCTGCTGACAGTGCAGTGAAGGACTGGAACAAAGAGAAAGATGTCGGGTAGAACTGGCAGGACTTGGCAGCTGCTTAAACATGGGAACTGCCCGAGAAGAAGCCAGACCCCTGGCTTGGGCAATCAGATGGATGGCAAGGTGGGTGGGAAGATTGTTACCCAAAACTGGAAGGAGCCAGAGCAGTAATGCTCTTGTTGTTGATGTTGTTATTGTAGTTTGTTTATTCAAAGACAGATCATGAGTTTTTTTAGTTTGAAATGACTGTAGGGCTTCCAGATGGAACTTCCTGGTAGGCAGGTACATAGCTGAATGCTGGGAAAGGGGAATGCGATTCGGGAAACATGGGCAGGTACCTGGTTCTCGAAGCCATGGGAGTGGGGGGCATCATAGAATAAAGGCAGGGACACAAGAGCGGTGCCTTGAGGACAGAATCTTGAGGAAATCAAACAGTGAAAAGGCAGCCTGAGGAACAAGGGCTACAAAGTCCTCAGAGAGGCAGGAGGAGAAGAAGAGAGCAGGGGAAAAAAGGAGCTATGTCCACAGAGAAGGAGGGAAGGCTTTGGCACAGCATGTTCCCCCTGCCCTGGAAGTCACCCAGTGGTATTTACAATAGGGATTGCCTGCTCATCATCAAAATGTGTCTTCAGAGCTCTGGGCAGGTCTATGGAAGTAACCCATAGGCCAAGAAGCCCCTGACAGTTACTAGGGAACCTGAACACACACACACACACACACACACACACACACACACACACACACACACTCAGAGTAGTCATCAATGGCTGCCCCAACCCTTAAGTAAACAACTTATGGGTTACGTGATAGTGGATGGTCAGTGTCAATTTCATCAGCAGTGAGAGAAAGAGACATGCAGACAGCAAGTACCTCCTGATGTGCTACAACAGGAAGTGCTCAGCACCATCCATGAAACACCATGGTGGTAAAAAGGGACCAGAATTTACCTGAGCCTCACATTGGAAGAAAAAGCTATAGGGAACAGAAGACAGATTACCACCGTGAAAAAGCTGTCAGTCACATCCACGATGTGGGAAAATCTACAGAACAAATAAATTGGTTTCTTTAACAAACATGTAGCATGGAGAAAAAATTAGAGGGAGTATTAGCATAGATTTTTATAGATTAAAAGAGACCTCAACCAAATGCAATGTGTGGACTTGGTATTCAAATGCAAACCAAGTATGAAAAGTTATTTTTGAGGTAATTAATGATATTTAACACTGACTGAATATTAGATGATATTAAGAAATTATGATTAAAATTGTTAAGCGTGATAATGATACTGTAGTCATAATTTTAAAATGAGTCCCTATTTGTAATTTGCACATTCACACACATGGTATTTAAAGATGAAATGATGTGATACATAGAATTTTCTTTAAAATATTCCAGTGAGGTCATGGAAACAGTACCCGTGGGATGTAGATGAAAAACAAACACAGAATACTGGTAATTGCAGAAGGCTGAGTTTGGGTAGAAGGAATGTTAGAACATCATCTTTCCCAGTCTTATGTATTTTTAAGAAATTTCAAAATAAAACAATTGCTGTAGTGAAAGTGTTCCCGGCCCAGGACGGTGGTGGCAGCACAGCCTGCGGGAGGCAGTGACACCAGTGTCCCCCCAAGTGTATTACAGAATCTGAGCTCTGCGTGACGTTAACATGTGCTGCCCAAGGAAAAAACCGGGGGCCAAGGTGGTTTTTGGAATAGTGGGTTTGAAACAGCTCAGGGGGGCTTTGCCACAGGAGGCCTGGGTGTGGGGCACGGCTGCCTGAGCACTATGAGCACGCATGGTGACTGTAAGGAGAGGCAGGAGCAGGTAGGACTCTCCATTTCTTTGACCATGGGAATTACATTTTAAACCAGAGGATGCTGGTGCACCTTTATGTTCACTGCAGCATTAATTTACAATAGCCAGGATATGGAAGCAACCTCAGCATCCATTGATAGATGAGTGCATAATGAAAAAATGGTACATATATACAACGTTTGGTCATAAAAATGAATGAAATCTTACTATTTGTGACAACATGGATGGATCAAGAAGGTATTGTGTTCAGTGAGTCGGATAGAAGAAGGTAAATACAATATGGTTTCACTTATATGTGGAATCTAAAGAACAAATTAAATGAACAAACAGACTCACAGAAAGGGAGAACAGACTGATGGTTGCCAGAGGGGAGGGGGTTGGTGGACTGGGTACAAAAGGTGAAGGGATTAAGAAGTACGGATTGGTAGTTACAGAACAGTCATTGGGATGTAAAGTGCAGCACAGGGAATATAGTCAGTAATATTGCAGTAACTATGAATGGTGTCAGATGGGTATGAGACACAGGGAGATCACTCTGTAAGTTATATAAATGTCTAACCACTATGCTGCACACCTGAAACTAATATAATATAGAATATCATTGAAAAATAAGAAAATTTAACTAAATAGAGGATTTTGCAGTTACATGAGAAACACAAGGGTAAGAGAGCTTGCGTCATGCCAGGCAAAAATGCAGGGAATGACAGGCATGGTGCATGTGGGGACACAGACCTGTCCCAGGGGCTGTGGGGCAGTGAACTTGCTGCTTAGCACTTCAGATTCTCTAGAACAGGTTCAAGTGCCAGTTTGGCCATTTCATAGATGTTTAAAGCCCTTCAGCCTCAGTTTTCTAGCCCGGAAATAGGGAGTAACAACTCTCTTATTTGATTATTGTGAAAATCTAGTGAGTTAACATCTTAAAAGAATGCTCTGCAAATGCCAAAAAAAAAAAAACCCATACAAATGGATGTATTTATTCTTTGCAACCAATGTACTGTCCTTTGGTCTCTCCAAGCTGGGGGGGGGGTGCAGCTGGAGTGGGCTGGAGGAGAGAAAAGATTAGAATCTGCTTCCTCTTTACTAATTGAAGTTCTTGTGCTCACCCACCAGCCTATCTAAACATGATCTCCAAGATGGTCTGGCCTTGGGCTTTCTCCCATGTATAATGAATGCATTGATTTAAAAAATCTATCTTCCTACCCACCCACCTGCAGAATATAGGTAACGAGCTCAATAAAGATAAGGGTACACACCATCCTCAAAGGTCACTGAGATTTGTTTTAAAATGAAAAGTCCTAGAAAAATTGTATATTCAGTGCTCTTCTCTTTCTAATGAGTCATAGTTGTTTTCCCGACTCAGATTGAAGCCCTGGGCAGTTGGGAGGTTGGAGGGAGGAGGCATGGAGAGTAGCCTCTGTCCTTCAGCCTGTGACTCTTACCTCAGTCTGGACCATGTGAACCCTGTGAAGTCTTAGGTCATGCACCGCTCCATAAATGTCCACAGAGTCTTTGGAGTCTAATTGCTGGAGGATTCGGTCCAATGCGATAAAGGTTCCAGTCCTACCCACACCGGCACTAGAACAGATATTGAAGGAAGACTGAGACTCTTTATTATATTGGCCTTTCAAGATTACATCCAGAGACTTTAGCAAAATCTTTCTTTTCCTTTCCAAGTTATGGGAGGATATAGGAATACTACTTTCTCTCCACAAGCTCAAAGAAATATAACCTACAGCTCCAACCTCTACCTTTCATTCATCTCCCCCACTCCACCATGGGTAAGCACTGCTCTGTACTTGGTATGTGTCATTTCCATGCATTTTAAAATACACTTTTCTGGGGCTTCCAGCCAAGATGGAGGTATAGGTAGATACCCTCCTTGCACAACCAAAGGAAGGACAACAACAAATTTAACAAAAAATAACCAGAACTGCCAGAAAATTGAACTGTATAGAAGTCTGACAACCAAGAAGTTAGAGAAGAAACATTCATCCAGACCAGTAGGAGGGGTGGATGTGGGTATCCAGGGTAGAGAGGACTCCTGTCAGGGCAGCAGCTGGAAGACCTGGTGGTCCCACATTTGCATGTGGATAAACAAGGAGGAACAACTGGGGAACAAGACAGACCATGCAACTCAGGTTTCCAATGAAGGGAAATAAAGCCTCAGAACCTCTGACTGAAAAAACCCGTAGGGATTGAGGTGGCAGGAGGCTGAAACTTCCAGCCTCACAGGAGAATTTGTTGGATTGACCCACAGGGTCCTAGAATGTACACAAACCCACCCACATGGGAATCAGCACCAGAAGGGCCCAATTTACTTTGGGTAGCAGAGGAAGTGACTTAAAGCCAGCTGAGAGATGAGCAAGCAGCATTGTTTCCTCTTGGACCTTTCCCCACATACAGGGCCACTGTTGTGACTTGGGTTGCTTCACCCTGGTGAATACCTAAGGCTCTGCCCTTTACTACTAGCAGGTGCACTGAGACAAAAAAACAAACAAACAAACAAACAAACAAACCATGAATTACCTGAAAGAATAGATCAAAGCTCAAAAAATAGAACTAAGCAATAAGGAGATAGCCAATCTATCAAATGCACAGTTCAAAACACTAGTTATCAGGATGCTCACAGAAATGGTTGAGTATGGTCTCAAAATAAAGAAAAAAGTAAAGGTTATGAAAAGTGAAATAAAGAGAACCAACAGTGAAAGGAAGGAAACCAGGACTCAAATCAATGGTTTGGAGGAGAAGGAAAAAAAACAATCAAAACAGAATGAAGAAACAAGATTTCAAAAAAAAATGAGAAGAGGCTTAGGAACCTCTAGGATAACTAAACGTTCCAACATCTGAATCACAGGAATGTGAGCAGAAGAGGAAGACCAATAAGTTGAACACTTACTTGAAAGAATAATGAAGGAGAACTCCCCAAGCTGTCAAAGGAAATAGACTTCCAGGAAGTCCAGGAAGCTCAGAGTTCCAAAGAAATTGAACCCAAGGAAGCACACACCAAAGCATGTCATAATTACATTATGCAAGATTAAAGGTACAAAGAGAATCTTAAAAGCAGCAAGAAAAAAGGAGACTGTTGCCTACAAAGGAGTTCCCATAAGACTCTCAGCTGATTTCTCTAAAGAAACCTTGCAGGCAAGAAGGGACTGGAAAGAAGTACTCAAAGTCATCCTCAAAGGCGAGGATCTACATCCAAGTTTACTGTACCTGGCAAAGCTATCATTTAGAATGGAAGGGCAGATAAAGAGCTTCTCAGATATGGTCAAGTTAAAGGAGTTCATCATCACCAAGCCCTTACTATATGAAGTGTTAAAGGGGCTTATCTAAGAAAAAGATAAAAACTACAAACAGTAAATGACAACAAACTCATAACTATCAATAACCAAACCTAAAAAAACAAAAACAGAAACAAACTAAGCAAACAACTAGAACAGGAACAGATTCACAGAATTAGAGATCATATGGAGGGTTATCAGTGAGGACAGGGAGGAGGGAGAATAGGGGAAAGGTACAAGGAATAAGAAGTGTAAATGGTCGGTACAAAACAGGCAGGGGGAATAGTATGGGAAATGGAGAAGCCAATGAACTTATATATACAATCCACAGACATGAACTAAGGGAAGGTAATGATGATGGGGGGTACATGGCAGAGGGGAAAAAGGGGAGAAAAACTGGGATAACTGTAATAGCACAATCAATAAAATATATTTAAAATAAATAAAATAAAATAAAAGACTTTTCCCACATCCATGCAAATTTATTAACAATAACTCATCTTATATATTGCAAAAATTCACTAAAATCATAACATGTTTCATGTATTCTTCTGACAACTTTTCCACTCATATTGTGTTTTAAGATTTACCTATGCTGTTACACATACATAATTTTTTAAATCTTTTTTTTTAATCTTTTTTTTAAAGATTTTATTTATTTATCTTTAGAGGGGAAGAGAAGGAGACAAGGAGAGAAACATCAATGTGTGGTTGCCTTTCGTGAGTCCCCTGCTGGGAACTGGCCTGCAACCCAGGCATGTGCCCTGACTGGGAATCGAACTGTGATTGTGTGGTTCGCAGGCCCACACTTAATCCACTGAGCTATACCAGCCAGGGCCACGTACATAATTTTTAAACCTTCTCTATAGAGTTTATAAACCACTGCTAACCCATCCACTGCTAACCTATTCCCCATTGATAGACAGCAAGATCATTTTTAGTTTCTCTTTTAAAAATTGTGTTGCAGCGAACATCATTTACGTGTATGGGCAGTTCCCTAGGGCTGACGTGTAGAAGCAGCACCTCGAATCATCGGGTGTAAACATCTTCAACTTCACTAGGGATGGGTAAGTTGGTCCCCAAAGTGTCTGTTTAACCTGAGGATTTTTGCTGCACATATTTATAGGAAAAGGAGAAACAGTTCTCTGGGGTCCTGGGTAAAAACCCCCGCCATTCTTCAGAAAGCACGAAGCTCCTGAGTACCACACGTTCCTATTAAAAGCACCAGGGTTCCAATGACATACAAAAGCAGAGCTCCTAGGGTGCTGGGCTGATTGGGAGAGAATGAGCGCATCTGACATTTCTTACTCTAGCCGTTCCCTGCTCCATATTTAGTCGTGCCATTTAGTTAGGGCTATCAAAGTGTTGCTGCAAACATTAATTAGCTAAGCACCAGGATCCCCCGAGAGAGGGAGAGAGAGAGAGGTATGGATTGCTTGTTAGGTTGATTTTATGGATACACAGTCTGAGGCCAAGAAAATTCAAAAGAGAACATAAATTTAAGAGTTAAATTGGGTGCTACAGATGGCTAGTCTGCCTAGAGGGAGGGCTAGCGCAGGGATCTGGAGGGAGAGTTAGGGTTTTTGTAGATGGAGGAGAGCGATAAGGCCATTCTAAGGAGAAAGAACAGGCGAGAGGCAGAAATAAGTATACCCAGGCTAGAGTGGGAGAGGGTTTCTGGGAACTTGGATGGGGGTAAAATGGGAGGCTTAGAAGTCAAATAAGGACTTTGCACTTTGCAACAGTGGGAAAAAGAGCAAGAGGGAGATAGAAGGCTGTATCGTCAAGGTGAGAGAGAGGAGGGATGTAAAAGAAAGCAGAAAAGGAGAGGTCAGTGAAAAGAAAAGCAGCCGGGGAAATGGGAGAAGTAAATGTAACAACACCCTCTGGCCCAGACAAGTCCTCCATCCCTAGGTTCCCCACCCTTTTTCCAGACTTCAGGTTGTCATTTTATTGGGTCCCAGCGTCCGAGTACCTGCAGTGCACCACGGTGGGCCCAGCACCAGGTGTCCTGTTGATGTAGTCCCTGACAGTTCTCACAAACTGGATTAGGGACTGGGTGGTCTCTGGGACTCCATGGTCTGGCCACACCGTGTAGTGAAAGTGGCGGATGAGTCTGTGTGCATCGAGCTGTTCCTCCTGTAAGAGCAGAGTAGGTAGTAAAGAACAACCCAAGGCAAACCTTCAAGTTTGACAGCTGTGCCCATGCAGCAATGCCTGTGGGCTGAGACGGCAGGAGGAGCCAGCAAAAGTGGGATTCCCAGCTGCCCTTCTCCTTTCCAAGCTGCCTTAATTAAATGGCATCAGACAAACTAACGTACGCTGCATATCCTAAACTCCCGGATGGTCCACTCGGGCAGCACAGACTCTGAGAGCACCTGCAGGATGAGGTCCCCGTAGTAGAGGGACTCCTGGTCCGCCGGCCAGTAATGGTCACATTTTACCTAGAGGAAAACAGAAAAAATGTGAGTCCGGAAATGTGACTCCTCTATGAACCTGAACTTTCCCTCGAAAGGTCTTCCTGAGTTGGCTGATTCAGGATCTGCTGCAGAAGCGATTTGACCATTTGCTCCGTGTTAACCTGCTCACGGCCGGCACTGGGCCTGAGCTGCTGCTGCAAGTGCAGGGGAGACACTGCTGAGGAGCAGCCCCCCAACCTCTGGGTGCATCTATCTTCAGACAGCATCTTATGGTTGAGTTTTTAAAAATTTCCTTAGCATTTCAGTTCCACCAGCAGGTAAAACATCCTTTACCATGTTCTTTTTTTTTTTTTTTTAAGAGATTTAGCCGGGCAGAGGAAGGCACTGTCTTTCAGGCTCTGTTCTGCTTATATTCTGTATCACTGTCCTAACCTGGACCAAGTGTCATGTGCCAAGTGATATTTGAAAAGTCAGAACATTTAGCTAGACTTAAAATTACATACAGAAAGACAGGAGAAAAAGGATTATGAACATATATTATTGACCACAGGTACTGGGCACTTTACATGAAAACTCTTTTAATCCTCAAGTAACCATATAAAATAGAGTTTATAAGTGCATTACAAGAGGTTTGCCTAATTCGTCCAGTTAACTATTTTCCTTTGTGTCTGCAGACACAGCCTGAAGTTCACATCTCCTTCTTTCCTAAAAGTAGGGGCAGAGCCGGTGACTCTGCATGCACTGCAGGACGGAGCCGACCAGTGGCCAGTTCATCTTTCTGCTCACGGGCACTTCTCATAATCCTAGTCCTCAAGTGGAAACACCTTGGAACCTCCAGACCCAGAATTCAAACTGGGCCTTTTGTAACTGAGCAGCTTCACTCACTAACAGTGTTCTCACGCAGTCCTTACTTAGCTTTTGCAGGGGTTAACTTTTGACAGTGAGGAAGAATTCCCGCCACCCTCCAGGTGGCGGAAAGCAAAGTTTGGAAGTCAGGAAGACTGTTTACTCACTCGGCCCTTCTCCACACACTGGGTCACCATGACAATGTTGTGAACATTCTGTTCCCACGCCATTTTCCAGAAGTCATCCTTAGTGCCAGGAAGAGGTCCTTGAGTAGCAATGTATTCTCTTCTGAAGTTGTTGCCCTGCGATGAATTTACAATATGGGGAATCAGAAACAATAGGGCTCTTCAGAACTATAAACAAAGAACGCTGCAGATTAGATGATACGCAGGTCTTTGCCAGGCCCCTGACTTGAAAGAAAGATACTAACACAAGTATCAAGGCTGGGGAGCAGGAAGGACAAAGGCCGGAACATGGAACTATTGTTAAGAGCTAAATTCCCTTTTATTAGGCTGGGTCTATTCAAAAAGGCAATGGAGGACTCAGGCGGTAATCTAGAAAACACTCCTCTGCAAGTGTGTGTGTGCAAGTGTGTGTGTATGTGTGTGCGCATGAGTCTGAGGGACTGATTTGATCAGGCTCTATCCCTTGTTAACACAGAAGCTTGTAGTCATTTTGGATAACTGACATTAGAATGTTGGGAAGAGATGTCATGCAATGGAAACAAGGAGAAAGGGAACCACTGTTCATCGAGCACCTACCATTTAACATGCTAGGGACCAGGGCTTTCCCAGATTTTACTTAATGTTAACCACAACTCTGTGAGCTAGGGTATGTTCACCCACTCGTTCTGTACTCCAGCAAAACAGAATTCCTTGCAGATCTTAGTCAAAGCTCTTTCTCTCCTTTCTTCTCCCCAGGGCCTCTGCATGATGTCATCGCTGCCACTCCCACGCCCTGCCCACCCAAATACGGCCTCTCAGCTGCTGTTTCTGATTTATCTTCCAAGTCTCAGTGTGTTTTCCTCCAAAGCTCACTGTTGAGCTTTCCTTTATCTTTCTGGCTGCTGGGGGATGTTCTCCTCCTGTGGCAGCCTCTAACCTCTTATTACACAGAGTGGTCCTCGGGTCAGCAGCATGGGGCTCCCCTAAGGGCTGGTTAGAAGTGCAGGATCCCAGGTCCCGCCCAAGCCCTGCTGTATCAGCAGCTGTGTTTTAATGAGACCCCCAGATGATGTGGATATATGTTCCTCATGGTGTGGCCTTGTCATTTCCTGATGCCCCAGCTCTGCTGAGAGTTCCTTGGAGGCCAGATTCTGTCTTACACTATCCCTGTACATGGCTCAGTGTTTGCCTTATAGCTAGCACTTCACAAGTGTTTACTGAGCGACAGAATGATTATTGGAGATACATATGTTCATCCTCATTGTTTAGAAAAGAAAATGAAGGTCCCTAGAGGAAACATAACCTGTCCAAGGTCACAGAGCCCAGCTGGGTGGGATTGAATCCTGGATCTGTCTGACGTTAAAGCTTTTCCCACTGTAGCGTGCTGGAGGAAGCTAGCAAGATGCTAGCCAGAATCTGAGCCCAGAGGTTTGACACAATCTTAGAGCTGTGTCTGTGGTTTTCAAAAATCCAAATAACTTTGAATCAGGCAACCTTAGCGGGGGAGGTCCAGGTTATTTAGGGAGTGCTGACCTTGGCTAAAGGCTGCAGCGAGAAAACGACCTGTGAAAAGGAATCCTGGGTTCACTGTAGTCTCTTGCGACTATAGCCGTTGTGAAAATGGACCTTAGCAGTGATCCAGTTAAACACCCCACGTTTTATGGTACTGAGGTCTTGTCTTCTAACACCTCTATGTTTCCAGACCTGAGAACAGTAATAGCAGGTAGGAGGAGAGGTATGTCCAGTGTGGTCACTCATCAGAGCTTCCTCTGGGCGCTGCAGCCCGGTGGTACACTTACAGGGATGTAGCTGGCGTTGATGTAGTCGGAGCACGGGTCGTCATCCACATTGGACAGCTTCACTCGAGAGGCATCGTCTGGAAGGAAGTTCATTGAGACAGATTTGTCACTGAGTTTTGGGGTGATCTTTCTATGGTTTATAGAATGCTTGGTTTCTGTCATGCATTAGCTCTGATCCCCACAAGGGTGCCCAAGGGTGAATCCTCATTTCCATTTTGCAGAGGAGGCTCAGACAGGATAACTAACTTGGCCCAGGTCACAAGGATGGCTCATAAACACACAAACGACCAAGTGGGTTTTGAAGGCCCCTCTGTGCTCTCCTTTGTACACTATTTACACTATTTGTAACACTATGACATCTGCCCAAGGGGTGGCTAGACGCCTCTCACTGCCAGAATAAATGTGATCCAGAAAAACTACCTTCTATTGCTTCACCTGACAGGATAAGGACAATGAAAATGTACAATAGTTATTTAATAATAATTGCTAATGGGAGACTTTGCTAAGTACACTTTGTTTGGACTCTGCTGTTAACCCTTTACTGCTCTAAGGCCTCCAAAGAGAAGCAGTAGGACCACACAGTGAAACGTCAATGGCATGAGAAGCCTCTCAGGACCAGGACTGAAGCTGGCTGTGCCCATGCACACAGCAAAGGGCAATAACATACAAGTCACTCCTTTCTCAAGGCATTCAGATCTTCCAAACCCAGCTGGGCTGTATTCCCTTAACCCACTTCATTCTGGGAAGAGGAGAAATGGCTAGAGGAAGACAGTGTTACAAATTTCAACACAAAACTCACAGGGCAATATATTGTTGTATCGATTTTTCCCTCTATTCTCCGGCAAGAGTGCAATGTCACACGGTTGGTTTCTACCCACGTCTTTTAAGTCCTATCAGATCAAAAATAAGTTTCTAAGTCGAGAATATAACATAGAAGGTGACAATCATAAAATCCTTGAGCTAGATAGTAGTATGGGAATACATGTACACTAGCCACTGTTTAAGGCATGCTTAGTATTGTGCGTGTGTTAGCTCTGATTCCCACCATGGCCTCACAGGGGGCATTTTTCTATCCATTTTACAGATAAGGCTCGGACAAGACAACTAACTTGCCCAGGGTCACATGGGTAGCAAAGCTGGGAATAGAACCAAAGCCTGAGCACTTTTCACCAAAGCCCGTTATTTCCCAGTCAAGCAAATGGCCACGGGTTAAGTAATGGACAGCGTGCGGTTTGCATTTTCACTTTGTTAATTCTCTCTTTTACCATCCAGGCAGCACTTTGCTATGCTAATCTGGAGAGGAAATGGGCTGTGAGACTAGGTGGTATGTTGTGCAGGGAATGGACTCAGGCACCAAAGAGCACTCAGCCAAGATCCTAAGTGTCACCTGAACTCCTGAGCCCAGTCAGCCCGTGATTGCACAGTACAGGTTGGGAGGGAAGTTCTGCTAAGGACCAGTGTGCTAAAGCATCACTGCGTCTGAGCTGTACCTCGTACTCCTTGGACAGAAGGTAGTTGGAGTCAGCCTGCAGCTTCATGAAGTGCCCTTCAAACTGATTTACTTTTATTGGGCTACAGTTAAAATACAACAGAAGGAAAAGAAAATTACTGAAGGGAAAACGCCATAACCAGTTAGAGCTGTATTTTAAAAGCAGATAATATAGGAATTAATGAGTTTTTTCTCTTACCAAGAAGTTTTCCGGTTACTGTGAAAGGAAGTCAAAAGAAGAAAGACCTCATTAGTAAACCTCACATAATACAACCAACTCATCTTGCAGTAAATCACGTGAAGGAAGATGTGGTCCTCACCCTTTCTGGCCCAGGTTCAAGTGGACAGTTAATGGTCGATCCCGGCGGATGCTCAGGTGGGCAGAAGGTCTTTCTCGACCATGGCTGTAACATAAGAGACAGGATTTATATTCTGATTATGAAACTGGACTTAACACATTTTTCCACATATGGTAAAGCTGTGCGTGTTTGCGCATATATGGATTTTTCAGTATTCGTGTAGACTTATACCCAGCCAACGTCTCTTCGAGGGAGGGAAAGAGAGGAAGAGCATAAAGAAGAAATAGATTTTTCTCACTCAGAAATGGATCTCTGCAATAGCTGGAGATTTGTCTTCTGGTTTTTGGCTACAGGTCACAATCACTTCCCACACTCTCAATAAAACTTTCCTTAAAAAAACCCCCAGTAAACCTTAGATGCAAGACATGACTTCAATAGAGATCACAGCATGCCAAAGAAAAGAAATTCCCTAAGAGAAGACAGTGTGGCATTGGGACCACATGCTTTAGTTCTTTTTGGTCTCTCCTTAAATTAGCATAGCAGATATGAGCCATAAAATGGTGATGTCAACCCCACTTTTCAGCATATTTCAGACAAGTGCTTGGGCACACTATTTGCAGACATCTCTGTTTTCATGAAGAGATAGAACCACACACATTTTTTTTTTTTTTTTTGCTGTGCAAAAGGTGTTATTTCACATTCAGATAAGGCCCTGCAGTCATTTGGGAAGGGCAAACTCCTCAATGGTGTGTGGAGAGGCTGAAATGCGTGAGTCATGGGGTTAGGGCTTGACTTTTGTTTTTTTTTGAGACACAAAGGTGATTTAACAGAGAAATTAAATTATTTTCCCTCCTCACTGTTCAGACTAAAGGGCATTTTCAGTTGCATTTTTAAAGTTGTGGGTTTGTACTCACCTCGCTTTCTGTCTGCAGATGAATAAGGCCACAACAGCCACCAGCATGCCAATTAAGAACAGACCAGCACTCACACCTTCAATAACTCCGAACAAAGGCTCTGCAATAATCCAGAGAGCAACAACAGACCCGGGTGGGCACATCAGCGCTAACACACCAGTGAGGGAGCTAGAAGCTCTACCTCCCTGGGAACATAATTATGAAGAAGAATTCAAACGACACCCACACTGAGGCATTGGCTATCTGCAGTACGGGAGTACACAGCCGAGGACACGAGACACTGGCCACTACCCTGTAATGGGCAGGTTGGCCATTATATGTTTGAAGTTAATGGTGTTTAGCTTTTAAAGGAATTTTGGGCTTGTTTGTGCTTCTATGTAAAGCTTGGGACCCTTGAGATAAATGCTAGCAATTTGTGACCAAAATAAAAATGCTACTTCATTTGCATAAAACAAGATAGAGCATCTGGGACTTTAACAAATCCAGTGAATTGCTGAGAGTTATTTTAACAAAATCTTATTTTTATTTTCTGGTATAACACTGCCACTGAGAGTTTATAAACAGGTAAGAGTAGCCCATTTTTAAAAATAGTTTTATTGAAATATAATTCACATACCATATAATTCACCGGTTTAAATGGCTAATTCAATCATTTTTAGTGTGGCCACAGAGTTTTACAAACATCACCATAAATGTAGAACATTTTCATCATTCCTTTCAAAGCAACCCCCTGCCCTTAGCTGTCATTCTTTATTCTCCCCTCCTTCTAGCTTTGGGCAAGTCTAATTTTTTTGTCTTCATAAATTTGCCTATTCTGGACATTTCCCATAAACTGAATCATAAATATGTGGTCTTCTGGGATTGGCTTCTTTCACTTAGCATAATGTTTTCAAGGTTCAGCCACATTGTAGCATTGATCAGTATTCCATTCCTTTCTATGGCTCAATAATATTCCATTGTATGAACATAACATTTTTTTACCCAGTCATTTATTAATGGATAGTTCAGTTATTTCTATTTTTGGTTATTATGAATTATGCTGCTATGAACGTGAGTTTACAAGTTTTTGGGTAGGTGTAAGTTTCTACTTCTTTTGGGTATATACTTAGGAGCAGAATTGCTGAGTTAGATGGTAACTCTAGGTTTAACATTTTGAGAAACTGGAAAACTGTTTTCCAAAGCAGCTATACCATTTTTCATCCTCACAAGCAGTACATGCAGTTTCCAGTTTCTTAAAAAAAATATTTTATTTATTTATTTTTAGAGTGAAGGGAAAGGAGGGAGAAAAAAGGGGAGAGAAACATCAATGTGTGGTTGTCTCTCAGGAACCCCCAACTGGGGACCTGGCCCACAGCTAAGGCATGTGTCCCAGTTGGAAATTGAACTGGCAAACTTGGTTCACAAACCGGCACTCAATCCACTGGACCACACCAGCTGGGACTCCAGTTTCTCTTTGCCCTTGCTAACACTTATTATTGTCTTTTGGATTATATCAATAGTTACTCTGCTGGGTGTGAAGTAGTGTCTTGTTGTGGTTTTAAATTTGCATTTCCTTAATGAATAATGATGTTGTGTGTCTTTTCATGTGCTTATTGGATATTTGTATATTTTCTTTCTTCTTTGGAGAAATGTCTATTCACATTTTTTGTTATTTGTCTTTTTATTATTGAGCTATAAGTTAAGAGTTCTTTACATATTCGGAATACTGGAACCTTATTAGACGCATGATTGGCAAATAGTGTCTTCTATCCTGTGGATTACCTTTTCACTTTCTTCATCAACTCCTCTGAAGGACAGAAGTTTTAAATTTTGATTTAGTCCCATTTATCTGTGTTTTTACTTTTATTGCTTATATTTTGGTGTCATATTTAAGTAACCATTTCCTAACTGAAGGACACAAAGATGTACTCCTATGTTTTCTTTTAAAAGTGTTATTGTTTTAGCAGGTACATTTAGGGTTGTGGACTAGCCCACTTTTGAAGTTCAATTTTAAGCCCTTGGATTTCTTTGTTCAATGTTGCTTTTCAAGACTCATCACATCAACACAATCACCTTTCTTTTAATTGTGATTAATATTCTTTTTAAAGTATATGTTTACTATCTTTACTGGATTGTATACAACTTTTATTGTATACGACAATATTTCAAAGAGGAAGGAATTGTGTTTACAAAGCCTCCACTTAACAACAAATTGTATGTAAACATGTTGAAGTCATCTTAACTGTGTTCTGACCTGTTTCTGGTTTGAGAAGTGGGAGAGTATACTTATATTTGGCATAAATAGATGGGGGTGTTTGTGGGGCTGAGTCAGTTCTGTCATACAGCAGGACAGACTGAGATCGGAAGAACTTCTTGAGACCAAGCATTGTGAAACTCCAGCTTCAGGGAAAGTCTGGGACAGACAAAGTAACAAAGAAAAACGTGCCGAAACATGCTGCTATTCTCAGCCTATAAAATATTCGAAGGCAGTGCAGTGCACAGGTTAAGGATTCAGGAAGAGAGTGCCAGATACCAGCTCTCCTGTCTTTCTCAGCTATTTGGCTTTATTTAGCATGGTCACTGGACGTCTGCTTGGTAAGGGGATATATGCACAGAAATCCAAGTTACTTAAACCCTTGGTGCTTCAGGTCCTCACCTTTAATGTGGGGGTGATAACAGTATGTACCTCAAAAGGTTGTAATCAGTATTGAATAAATTAGTCTACGTACAATGCTTAGAACTACCTCCATAGAGAGGGTGACCAGGAAATATTAGCTGCTGCTATTACTCAGGTTTGCCCTCTAACACACAGAAGTTTCTTGAATAAATTTATGTAAAGCCTTTTAAGTTAACATTTTGATTGTGTACAACAACATGTAATAAGCAAAAGGAAATCCCACTACTTTGAGATATTGTTAATATGTTGGTATTTTTTCTTCTAGCTTTTCTTATATATTTCTATGTATCTGCATGTATACTTTCAAAAGCATTTTTGTATTTAGTTATATTTTGACCTCTGCAAGCTCTTTATTTGAATAATTTTTACCCACTATTAAAAAATTCATCTTTAAAAAAATCTGGTAACTTCTACCTTTTTCTAGATTAACTTCCCTTCTGTCCATTCTCCTGCAGAAGTCCTGTGATCCCTCTAATCTACACAAACCCATAATCACATAAAGATTAAGTTCCAAGTAAAAATAAATGTTCCCCCCACCATCAGCCAGATTAACAGATCTCCTCATTAGAGATCTTTGTAGATAACTTGGAGGTTGGCAGAATATGTGGGTAGATGAAAAGGTTAGCCTTACCTGACTCAGTGGTGATAGGCAAAGAGAAAAATGTGTCTGAATAGAGTGGCTTTGTGAATTCCTTTTGGTTCTCATCAAACAACTGTGTAAAAGCTCGAATACTGATTCTGAAAAGAAAACGGATTTATGTGAGTACAGATTCGTGGCTGACCACAATAGGGCTGACTGAAGAATGTGCTCAAGGAGAAATGGGGTGGGCACCTGTCAATATGTGAGTAAAGTAGAATATGAATTATGGAATCAGACAGATCTGGGTTCATTCGTTCATTCATTCATTCCTTCATCAAATATCTATGGGAGCCCTACTGTGTGCCAGTCCCTGTTCCAGGAGCTGGAGATACTACAAGAACAAAAATATAAGTCCCTACCATTCCAGCGCTTACATTTTTAGGGAAAAAGGCAGATAATAAATACACAAATATACTACGCCAAGTCATGATATGTACTACGGAAAAGAAAAAAGCAGAAGAAGGAAGATGGAAAGCAATGGGTATAGGGCATGTGGGACTACTTTATTCATCATGGTCAACAAAGGCCTCCTTGATAAAAGGATAGGCACAGAGATCTGAGCAAGGGGAGGAAGGGAGCCATGGCTGCATTCCAGACAGGTGCAAGGCTCTGAGGCAGGAACATGCTCTACTCCAAAAAGGCCAGCAGGGCTGAAGCACAGTATATGAATGAAGGAGTATTGGTGGGTGAGAGCAGAGATCTAGGTGGGGCCAGACCATGGAAGACCCAGAAGGTCATGGTGAGGATTTTGGCTTTTGTCCTGAAAGACATAGAAAGCCAGCAGATAGAGGGTATTGTCTGGATCACTCTGGCTGCTGCAGCTTATAGATCAGACAGAAGGATAATGGTAGAAGAAGAGAAACTCATCAGTAGGAAATTGCAACAGTCCAGGTGGGAGATGCTGGCTTGGATCAGAACACAGTAGAATTGGCAGTGACAAGTGTTGGCTACTTCAGAGGAAGAGCTGAAAAATTTGCTGATGGATGTGCAGTATGAAAGGATGGAATCAAGGATGACTCCTCTGGCTGAGGAGCAGCTGGAAGAATGGAAGTGCCATTTACTAACATCAAGGAAAACCATGGAGGGGAGCATGAGGGGTTTGGGAGGATACAGAGTTCATTTCTGAGGGCAGTAATTCTGAGGTGCCTGTTAGGGCAGTCCAATGGGTCAAATATCAATATATCAGTATTATTAGTATTATTGCCACTGTTGCTATTTAAAAAAATAACTACATATATGAATAAAATTTTACATTAAACATTATATTACAAATAAAATTACATATCTTCTCATCTTTTTCACACTAGTTATTTTCTAAAGAACCTTGTATCTAACAATATTTTAATCTCATTGTCATTGTTATAAGATTTATTTAATGCCTTTTATGTCTAATTGCTGAGGTTACAAAAAGATACATACATGGTCACTACTCTTGAAAACTGATTCTAAATGCAATAAGCAAGCAAGGTGCAGCTCTGAAAACACAGAATTACAGCCTCAGGCTGGATGAAAAGCCTACTGTACCCATCATCGGCCCTAAAGCTCATGCTCTCTGGCGGAGTCAAGGTCTAGTCTGGAGGGCTGCACTCCAGTTCTGGGAACATGTTTTAGGAAACATTAGGGATCATTTGAGATGATTGGCCAGCATGATGAGAGAGACGACTTAGTGGAACATGTTAGTTGACTTCAGAGCTACAGAAGACTGCCAGGCAGAAGAGGAAACAGGTGCATTATTTCCCTCCTTGAAGATGGAACTAAGCTCAGCAGGCTGAAGCCACAGAGGTGGCCGAGGAACACAAGGTCACTCTCTAACACCCAGACCAGGAGCCGCAGAGGTGGTGAAGGGCTTTAAGCAGAGGCAGGAGAAAAGAGCTCTCAGGGCGGTGCAGCGGAGGACTGCCCCAGTAAGCTCAGGACTGGCTGGGGCCACCTCTTGAGTTTTCTCCACCTCGAGACTCTCAGACTGTAGGTTTACTGATAGAGAATCAGGCTTGATTTATAAGGGAAAACTTTTTCTATGATTACCTAAAACCCTTTGAAAGTGAATGAAAGACTCCTTTTTTCCTTTTTAAAAAGGTCTGGATTTGTTGAACCCGAAAGTATCTGGGCATGTCCTGTTATAATGCTGAAGTAGTGACAGGCTGGGAGAAATCGTTCTGACCCCCCATCCTCTCCTTGTATCTCGTGCCTGGGTCTTTGTGTGATCTTACGATGTAAACCAGATGATGTAGTTCAACCACATTTATGATTTCTGTCTCTAAAAGATACTTTCAAAGAAAAAACACACCGCCCCGCCACCACGAAAAATCAAAAGTTGTACTTCCAGGAATAACAGACTGCTGATGGCAGTATGATGAGATATCTCATCACTGATGAGTTATCAGTGTAACTGACAGTCACTGTGTGTTAAATGAGAAGGTGAGCAGTTGGTATGTGTTACCAATGTACTGTACCTTTGGAAATTTAAAGGGGTCTATTTGATTATAAGGGTTTTTAAATATTTGTACAGTAATTTATAAGTATAGAAGGACTTTTACAAATGTGGTTTTATTTGATCATCTCCAACCTCTCCAATACAAGGAATCTTATACAAGGAATTGTATTACTTTAGAAGTTTGGAACTTGAAGCTTAGAGAGAGTCCGTGTGTCATTCAGGATCACAGAAAAATCTGGTGAAAGAAAACCAAACTCCATATTTTCAAACTCCTGGTCCTGATCTCTTTCCCTTATTTCCCCCTGGCCCAATTTTGTTTTTTCAGGAATGACTTCTGTGGGAGGGAGGGTTAAAAGGGCCCAGGCCAGGAAGCAGAGGGTCTGTGGCCTACCTCTTACTCTGCTGCTATCAGTTGAATTGTCCCTAAAATTTTTTATGCCTCAGTTTCCTCATTTGTAAAATAAAAGCCTTGGATATAACAACCTTGATATGTTCTATTCTGAAATTCTAGGATCCACAGGTGCAAGTGCAAAGTATGAAGTGGACCCAGATGAATAAGGACCCTTAGGAACCAAAGAAAAACATAATGACCTAGAATAGGTTCAGCGTAAAATTAGTGGGTCATCAAGAACTCTGCCCTTAAAATTCTTTCCACAAATGGACATCAGCACCACATTTCCTGGACCAGCACTCAGCAATCATCCAGAACCCTGTCTCATCCTGTTCTCTGGTCTTGTCTTCCCCGCTACCTCTTTCCATGCCCTCCCCCAGCCCTGCTTGAAACTGGACTATTTGCTCTTCTTTAAACAGTTTGTGTGTTTCTGCATCTGCACCTTAAATCTCTGTCCCTATTTGCATATTTTCAAATCCTTCCCTATTTTTTAATGCCCAGCAAACAAGACACCTCTTTCAAGAAACCTTTTGAACCTTCACACCATTTATTTACCTTCACCTCTCTTTTGTCCTTTAATATTTCCACTCTCACTACATTATAAATTCCTTGAAGGCAGGAATTCCATCTTACTGATCTTTCTCTCCCCTCCAGCACCTGGCCCAGTGCCTTTCACAGAAGGGGCACATGTATTGAATATATTATCAGCATGATAAATTTAGTAATATGAATAAGATTATTTTAATGAATAGATATCTGATAGTAATTATTTCAAGTGTAGCTGTGTCTGGAATCAGAAAATTCCATACCACAAAGTCATAGATCATACAGTTCAGTTTCCTTCATTTCAGGAAAACGAGGTCAAGGGAGGCTGACTACCTGAGCGTGGTCACATTGCTATTTTATTTAGAATAGAAACAAAACCAGTTCAGCACTTTTCTAACCTCCAAACTGCCTCAGCCATCATGCTCTGCCTTTTCTCTTCCTGTATGAAATAATACTAATTATACAACTGAATAATAGGAACCCAGCGATGAATGGGAACACATTACATTCATTGACCTAATAAACTTGCATATCAGGTAAACCTTGCGTTTTCCAATTTTTCCTCATTCCTTGTTTTTCTTTTTCCATGTTCTCTCCTCTCTGGAAAAAAGATGCCTGACAGCAATGAGGGTCACTGCGGTGACCGTTATCTTGAGACAGGCAAAGTGCTGACTTCCCTGAGCCAGGGCTCAATAGCCACCGCACAGGAGGCCACTGAGCAAGAGGTTCTCCCATGTGCTCTGAAAGGCTATGTCTCCTCTCATTAAACACTGTCTGCCTGGCATGCTTCTCACAAATGTATATTGGAGAAATAGAGGAAAGCTGTGTTCTAGAAAACAAACATGCACGGCATGAGTTGATTATGCTATAATAAGAATGTGCAACTTTTGATAGAGTAGTTGGCTCATACACATGTTTTGTGCCTGGTACTTGCCATATTTTTTATCATCCATATCACATGTCTCCTCTATTAGACTCTGAGCTCTCTCAGTGTAGTGAAGAGGGTAGGTAATTAAACAAAGGGTTAAAAGTCACTGGTAAATGGAGGATTAGAAGAATGTAGGGACTGGGTGCTGCAGAAATGTAGCTGAGGGTCCAGCTACCTAGCTGTGTATTGACAAGGGTGGCTTGGGCCTAGTTCAGAGTTGAGCTGGCTTTTGAACTGTCTGAAGGAACTCACTAGCCAGACAAGGGAGTGGCAGGCATTGCAAATAAGGTGAAAAGAACATGCAAGGTGCTGGGAACTGCCCTGCCTGGTTTCAGAAACTGTAACCCCTTGTGGCTAAGGCTTAGTAGAAGCCTTGGGACCATAAGTCACTTAGGAGACAAAGCTTATCTTTTTGTAGGGCACCGCTTCTGCCCCTTTTTTCTTCACCCTGCTTGGCCCCGGGTAGATGGCTGGTTAGCTAATGACAGGTAAGATTCCTCAAAACAGGGACAACCTAAGACAGGCATAGTCATGAAGGGGTCCTCAGGGAAGGACTGGGGGGTTATAGAAAAAGGGGATGATGAACCCTTACCCCTCAGTTTTGACATAGCCTGAGTACTCATTCTGTCTGCAAGAAGTCTCCTAATTTCTTGGCTGCCTTACTTCCGCTGCCTGACTTAAACCTGAAATAATGCTGGAGGTGGGTACGTCCCTGTGCTGGAAAGGGCGGGTTCCCTAGGGTGATCAGGCCTAAGAAAGAATGCATAAAATCCTGTGAAACCTACTTTGCTAGTACCCTCAATTTAAATAATAAGGGTCCAAGCATGAAGTGAGTTTTTCCCCCAAAGTTTTATGGCCCTTTAACTATCTGACCTTGACTCAGAATAAGTCCTCAGAGTTCTTTGAATGGTATCTATTGTTTAATCATTTCTGACTGACAATGACTGATAGGCTTTACATATATACCCTGTATTTATATGCAAATTAAACCCAATAAAAGTTTGTCCAGGAAAGGGTCAGGGCACTCTCCTCTTGAGACAGTAGCTGTGCAGTCCCTTTTCCTCCATAAGACTTCAGTGGTCCGTGTGAATTTGTCTTGTTTCAACCACAATGCCTCAGACACTGTGGGTCAGTGTCCACATCACAAAGGCTCAGAAATGAAAGACACTATGTCATATTCAAGAGAACTCTGAGGAGTGAAAAGTGAATAGTAGCAACAGGGCAAGGTGTACTTGGGCAAGTAGTGGGAGACAAAGCTGGTGAGAAAGGTCGGGAGAGAAGGTGAGGGCTTTGTGTGTCCTGCTCTGGAATTTTTACTTGCTCCTAGAAGTGAATGGGAATCAAATCACTGGAGGACCTTAATTTAGAAGGGGCATGACAAGATTTGATCTTTTGCACAGGACAACTCTAATGCTTTGCAGATGAGAAAAATGAGGATCAGAGAACTGAAATGCTATTTGTAAGGCTAACGCTCCCAAAATGGCACTGTTGGAACTCAAATGGAGGGGCTCTTACTAGGACCTCAGCAGCTGCTGTGGACAGGAAGAAATGTGCTAGGAGCCCGGTAGATTCTGGTCTGGATATGAACTATCTATAGCTTCTAATTCTCTCTCTCTGAAATGTAGTGATGAATTATCTTCTCTCCTCTCTCAAAAAGCAAGCGAGCAAGCAAACAAACAAACAAACAAAAACAGCCTAGACTTCTGAACTCACCAAGAGAAAATAGCCCTTGGGAGACTTTTGCTCAAGTTTTCTTGAGCCCAAGTGATTATGGAGTGGAGGCATCTCCTGATTCCAGCATTCAGTTCTCCCTTATTTTTCTCTTTTGCTCTGCCTGAGATCTCACTTCCTTCAGGCAAATAATAGTCTCTTCTTGAAGTAAACATCACTAGTAAGTTTGCATATGTTTTTTTAATACACACTCATTTTATTTTTATTTTTTAAAGATTTTATTTATTTATTTTATAGAGAGAGGGGAAGGGAGGGCAAAAGAGAAGGAAAAAATAAATTCAAAAAATCAATGGGCAGTTTCCTTTCATGCATCACCCCAATGGGGACCTGGCCTGAAACCCAGGCAATGTGCCTTGACCAGGAATCGAACTGGTGACCCTCTGGTTTACAGGCCAGCACTCAGTCCACTGAGCTGCGTCAGCTAGGACTAAGTTTGTATATGTTTTCTCTGGAAGTGCAAACCTTGGATGGGGTGGCAACATCAATTTTGTGGTGCATCCTGGGGCAGAGGTAACTAACTATACACCTTCCTGCTCAAAGTGAGCGCTCTGTTTTAGGAAAACCATTAGCCTTCCTTTGTTGAAGTGAGGGAGGAGCTAAGAGGACTCTCAAGTGTGATGTCAGGTCATTGTCTCCTTTTGGAGCTGACTCAGGGAGTCAATAAACCTGGGCAGTGACCACCAAGAATACACACTGGCCCACAGAGAACCTGATTGGCTGCCATATTGGCTAGATGGCAGCTCTGGGAACACAGAACAGAGAAAGTACATCCTTAGCAGAAGCACCAGTCTTGAATGTCTATATCTTTACATGCAAGATGGTGACACAGGTTCTCCTCCTCTTGAGGGCCCTGGTTTGGGATGCTGTGTGCTTTTGCCAGTTCCCACAGCCGGGAGGGCGTGCTGGCTATAGTAGTGCTTCCTGGGATCAAACCAAACAGCTGCTCCTTTCCATCCTCCCCCTTAGAGTGAGGAAGGGATGCCCCTGTTCACTTAAGGGCCTCACTCTCAAAGAGTTCTGTCTGGACCAAAGAGTATGTTCATCATTTTATGTTTTAGAAGATAAATACATATGTGTAATTTGAGTTCTTATTAAAAGTGGAAGATAAAATCTCATACTTCTTGGGATTCCCTGACTCAGTTTTTCTACTTAGGCATTTTAATAATCATGGACCTGGGAACTGATTTGACTTGTGCGGAAGAAATTTTAGGAGAAAAGAATAATAGAACTTTCACTTCTTCACATCATGAATTAGAGATTTTGCACAGTGCTCAAGGTCCTTTTTACACATTACTTGTGAATGGAGGTAGGAACACAACTATTATAAATTACCTAGTAAAGTACAGGGCACTCTTGTAATGTGGGTGATTAATCTATGGGAGCACACATGCATCAGATGCCCAGACAGCTGAGCGCCCAGTAATGGGGCATGTCCCTTCCAGTAAAAGGATGGCAACACATCTAACCTGTAGGCAGTACGCGGCTTCAGCGGTCCATCACAGAATTTTTGCTGATTGGGATCACATTTTCCACCCAGGCTGTCCATCTCTGCTCCAAGCTTAATGTTAAAACTCCTGGAGTTGCTGTCAGGACTCTCGGCACATTTGCTGGCAAAATAATTGGTCTGATACACTCGAATGGAGGCATTGTGCCTGTATTCCAGGTAGGAGGGCAGAGGGTGCTGTTGTTCTGGCTTCAGCTCATCACTGCCTGGAGGGAGAAAACCCACAGTGAGACTGACTTTCTTGTAACTTTAGGTTTCTTTTTCTTTCTTTCTTTTTTCCTTCCTTCCTTCCTTCCTTCCTTCCTTCCTTCCTTCCTTCCTTCCTTCCTTCCTTCCTTCCTTCCTTCCTTTCTTTCTTTCTTTCTTTCTTTCTTTCTTTCTTCTCTCTCTTTCAACATTTTATATATTTTTCTCCCTCTTTCTTTCAAGATTTTATTTATTTTTTAGAGAGAAGGGGAGAGAGAGAGGAGAGGGAGAGAAACACCCATGTGTGAGAAAAACATCAATTGGTTGCCTCTCATACACCCGCAACCTAGAACCTGAAAGCTAGGCCTGTGCCCTGACTGGGAATCAAACCAGTGACCTTTTGGTTTGCAGGCCAGCACTCAGTCCACTGAGCCACACCAGCCAGGGATCTACCTAGGTCTCTAAGGTTGACTCCTCACCATCTCTGGGCATTCGCAGAGTGCAGAATTTGTGACCTTGAAGGGTGCTCTGAAATTCTCCCAATAAAATTAATTTTAATTCATTTTTTAAAAATAAAAATAAAGTGTATATAAACAAAATTATACACAGATACACATATATACCACCATTTTTCTTGGAAATGAAATGTGTGTGTGAGAGGATATTACAACTCCAGAAAACAAAACACTCACTGTGAGTCAACCAACTCAGTGAGCTCTCTACCTTGTCAATAATCATTGTAGCTAAGCTAATAAGGAAATCCCTATGACCTGGGAAATGGGGAAAAGATAAGAGAAATCAAGTCCAAGGCCAGAGCAGTTGCCCCACCAGCACATTCCAGGTGCCACGCCCAGTGTGATTACCACTCCAGTACAGGACTGTTCTCTTGAGTATAGTTTAAACCTGGCTTGAATTTGGTCCCTCATGCAGAACACTTCCCAGAACTCTTCCCCTGTCCACCCAGCCTGCTGTGTGTTTTGGCACTGCAAAGCAGTTTTGATGGTGGCTGGAGGAAAGCATAATTAGGAAGATAAATATTACAGAGGTTGAATACCACTTACAATGAACTTTGAGAAGTGGTACGGTAGGGGTTCATTGCATCCTGGACTCCTGTTTAACAATAGTTGCTCAAAATGGGTGGACCTTGGAAATGTTACTTTGGTGGCAGTAGTTGAAAAGGAACGTAGCCTTCAGGATGAGGGTGGATGCTATAGATGCCATTATATGAGATGGACTGTCATCTCAGACCACTGGGGAGCACAGCCCATCTCCATGGACATCAATAAGTAAAACCCATCTTATTTCTGGGGTATGACTTCTTTTCGGTCACTGCCTTACATCCATGAAGTAAAACATTTTCTTCATTGTAGCCTACTTAAATCCGAAGTCTCTGCATAGTTCAATTTATCTCTAGTTATGAGGTGTGAAGAAATCTGGGATGCACCACTGACCCTTGAAATTATTTAATTAATTATGCATGCCCAGCTTTAGTATGGCTATATAAGATGTAAGAGCACATAGACTGTTATACACCTAATGAGACTAAAATGCTCTCTCGCTCCAATGTTTGGTTAGGTTTAAAGTTTCCCTTTGCCCACAAATGGGTTAAAATAGTCAAGGATGTGTAAGAAGTTCATGTGCAGCACCTCCCACAATTTTGAAAAATATAGGACATGCAAAATATATCAATGGCATTCCAGACACAAACATTTATTTTGGAGAAAAAATAGTGGCAAATGCACTTATGGACATGTGTGCACCAAGATACAACACTGCTGTATTTTGACAAATGTTGATGCATGTAATAATCTCTAAAGATCATACTCAGTGGTTGTATGGAACATTGTTAATAACCTAGTATTTGCCTGATCCTAGGAATTAAGAAGACACTGAATAATTTGAGAATGAAATAACTAGAGAATAAAACATACTATTGAAAATGCAGTAGAGAACAGAGGAATGCTTTTTATGATCATATTTTTCCTCCCTTAAGCTTTTGCATATTTTTGTGAATTGGTGGGTAGTTTGGGAGCATGTGATTGGTTGAGGTATTTCGGACAGGGACAGGTAAGAAAGCGGAAGCATATTGCTGCTTAGTGGAAGACCCGAAGAGCAGTGAACAGGACTGAATGAGCAGTGAAGGAGATTGAATGAGTCAGTACACGCAATGCATTCCCAACAGTGCCTGACACGTAGTACGGGCTCAGTAAGTGATGATTATTGCTATTACTGTTGTGGTTGCTGTAATTATTGTTATTCACCCATTTCACAATTATACCCGGCAGATAATAGGCTTTATTGTTGAAAGAGCCTTTGAGCGGTTTTCTGTTACATCTCCCTGCATCTGGCAGAGATAGAGAGAATGATAGAAAAATTAAGTTTTTCTTTGCATTTGAGAACAGAAGGATGCCCCACAATGACCTTTGAGAAAGAAACCCTGTGGCTTACAGTGGAATGAATTCACTTACCATCGGCCTCTCGCACTACCACTGTGAAGTATTTCACAGCACCATTGGTATCACTGAACCAGCTGCAGTTGAAAGTAAAGTTGATGGAAGATTTGCTAATTAGCACGTCCTTTATATTCACACGGATATGTGGAGGAGGGGGAGGAGGGCCTGAGGAAATAACCAAGAAGGGTCACAGCTCTGCTTTCACATGTGAACAATCAGCAAATTGAAGGGCTCCACTCATCCACCTGCATATTCTCTCTCTCTCTCATTCTCTGTGTGTATGTAATCAAGAAACCATCCTCCTCTCCTGAGGAGAAGCAGGGTGAGGAAGTGACCTGCCAGTGACACATTATACCTAATGAAAGAGGCAGCTCCTCAGCAGGATTTCCTGGATTTGTAGCATCAAATTGCTTAAAAGCTCCATTACGGCTCCAACAGTATCAAGCAAAGTGATGTATTTAAATACTAACTCATTTGGGTACTTTAAGATCTTTTAACTTGTTTGCTGCACGGGTACTTTACACAGAGAAATGTTTCCATTTCCCAGAGTGTTTCAGGTCCACTTCTCTGACACAAGACACGATAACGTGGAAGTGAATGGTATACAAGCCGGTAGAGTGATAGACACGGCAGAGGAAGGCGCGCACCGGGAGTACGCCCCCGGGGACACTTACGGTCTATCATTGTGATAGTGCTGTCTTCCACCACCTCGCTGGTCATGCCAGCTGACTGCACCTTGATGGACACCAGGTATCTCTTATGGGGCACTAGCATCATGATATTGAGCAAAGATTTTTCCTTCTCCAGCTTTCTGGAAAACTCAACTTCTTGAGTGTCCATTTTCCGGCATTCAATGCTATACCCATCGAAGTCGGAATCAGGAGGGATCCAAGAACAGGCAATGGCTGTGGAGTTCTGAGGCCGGCAATGCAGGTTTTGTATCTTGTCTGGCTCTAAAGGAAAGAGAGGAAAGGGCACTTTTAACAACTCTGTGAGACACTTTTTTTCAGCTTCTTTGAGTCTGACTGGTTCAGAGATCTAAATAAATAATTCCCAAACTTAATTTGGCTTGTTTTCTGAGGAAAAAATTCTCGTAGCTCTCCAAGGTAATATGTCTGCCTGCCTGCCAGATTCTATTTTGAGAAATATTAAAAGTTAAAATACTGTCCCTTGAGAAAATCACCAGGTGCCAACATTACTGGAAACATAAATGTGTACGTGGGCACTGAAACCAAGTGACAGAAGTCGGATGGAAGGTAAGGCAGAGGAAAGTAGAACTCAAGAGTGCAGCTCAGCCTGCCTGAATTCAAATTCTGTTTAGCAGCTACATACTCTCAGGCAAGTTACTTAACATATCCGCACCCCTTCTGTGAAGTGGGGAAATTCAGGTAACCAATCATCATATGGTTACTGTGATGATTCGACAAGTCGAAACTTGCACAGCCACCTCAGAACAGTGGCTGGTGTAGCGATTGCTCAACAAATGCTGGCTTTTATAATGAGAAAATTAACAAATGGCATTGCCGACTTGTTACCCTGAGGGCCCTGGCTTCTGTCCCCCTCTTCCATTTTTTTGCCTGCTCCTCCCTGCCCACACTCCATGGCACAAAAATTGCTTGTGGCTCCCCACGTAGACCACACTGGTCTATGGCCCCCTTCTTACGGTCACTCAGCTTCTCCTGTCTGACAGACTGCCTGACCCAGGAAGGACTCAGTGGATGGTAGCTGATCTTATTGGTTGTGAATGACAAAACAATGAGTAAGAAATTCAGTCTGAAAGAAAAGCACTCATGTGACTGCGCTGGTTAATAAGAAACTGTGGCCTGCCCTAACCAGCCACATGCCTACCATTTGTAAGTATTTATATATTTATAGAGCTAAATTGTATACTTTAAATAGGCAATTTTTTGAATTTTAATTTTAGCACCTGAACTGTTTACAACAGAAAAGTTCTGCCCTGGCCAGGAGTGTCAGTTCGTTAGAGCATTGTCCCGACACACCAAGGTTGCGGGTTCAATCCCTAATCAGGGCACATACAAGAGTCAACCAATGAATGCACCAGTGAGTAAACAACAAATCAGTGTTTCTCTCATTCTCTCTCTCTCTAAGAGAAAAAATTTCAATCAAGAAATAGCCTGGCTGGTGTAGCTCAGTGGATTGAGCACGGGCCTGCGAACCAGACAATCGCGGTTCGATTCCCAGTCAGGGCATATGCCTGGGTTGCAGGCCGGTTCCCTACAGGCCAATTCCCAGCAGGGGACGCATGAAGGCAACCATACATTGATGTTTCTCTCCCTCTCTCCTTCCCTTTCCCTCTAAACAAATAAAACCTTAAAAAAAAAACTAAAAAAAAAAAAAGAGAAACCCAGATTGTTTAAAAAAAAAAGAAATAAAACAACCCCAATATATAAAATCAAAGTTATTCTGGTCTGTGTTATAAATGGGCATTGAGGTCAGGGGTGCTATGTTGGAGTGATCTCCCTAAGATCTGCCTTACTTTTCCCCATGAATTTCCAAGGAGCTTTTAGGCTCTGCAGTGGAACTTGAAGGCTAGCTCTAGACCACCTCATTTCATTCCAGGAGTCAAAGCCTTCATAAAGATTAAATGGTAAATGCCCAACCATTGTTCTATGGACCACAGCACAGAATACAGCTACAATCCTCAGACAGCAACAATCCATAACTGATGGCATCAATCCATCAGAAAGGCTCACAAAAGAACTGGCATTTGAGACAAGCAGTGATCATGTCTTTTCAAACATTAACTGCTTGTTAAACTTTTGAACTCCTTTCCAACCAAGTCAGAGCTGAGACCCAAACACACCTTCCCTTTCAGCCTTGGAGAAAGTCTTTTAAGACATCCCATCTAATTCATAATTCTGATGATCCATACAAAAAATAATACAGAAACTTGCTTCCACCTCTTCCCTTAGTTCCTTCTCTCTCCTCCGTTTCACCTCTAAATCCCACCTGCCTTCCAAGACTCTGGTCCCATCCCATTCACTAAGAAGTGATGCCTACTGTGTGCAAGGTGCTCCCCTGGGGACTGTGAGCACTAGAGAGGTGTACACATTAATCTAACCTCTAAGAGGAGAAAAGACTCCAAAACAGCCATAATATAAATAAGGTGGAAAGGCGAATCTACCAGATGAAATGGGAAAAGGAGATGCTGTGTACCATGACAGACACATTTGTGCTGCTGGAGCTAGTGGTGAGCAGAGCTTAGCAAAGGCTTTACCTGGCAAAGACGATACCTTGCCAAGTATTAGGAAAGGCTTTTTAGGTAGGGAAACCAAGGGTGGGGCTGGGAGGAGTGGGAAGAAGGATGATGAGGCAGAACTCCAAGTTACTATTCATCGTGGCTGGAGCTTATTTGTGAGTAATTGGCTACTGGAATGATTTTACATGAAAATTGTAAACTTCTATTTTGTTCAATCCTTTTATTTTGGGTTTTCTATTACCCACAGCCAAACCTAACCCTAACTAATGCAATCTTCAAAGTTCCATCAGTCGTTCTTCATGACATTCAGCCCCTTGACCCTCTGCATACTAGTTGCTCTCCTCTTGGGCGTGCCCCATTTGGTAAATGCTACTCTGAAACACTAGCATCAGGGACCTAACACAATCCTCCAGACATGATCTGACCAGCCCAGCCTCTACTGAGCTCTTAAACCGAGTGCCTGTGATTCAATCACACATTCCACAATAAGCTGCTGAAAATCTACCTTGAGCTTGTTATGGAACAAAAACTCTTAGTTCTTTCACATATTTATTTGGACATATATCTATTTGATCCCCAACTACTCTTCTGGTATAATATGGATCTCAGATTACAATTGTTATAGCACTGACATTTGTTGAATAAACAAAACAATGACTGGCATAAATTTCTCATTTTCAGCTAGGTGTTTCATCAACAGCCACTATCTGATCTGAGAAGTTACATTTACTAGGTATTACTGAAAAATAAATATTTGGATTGAAGTGTTTCTTTGAGGTTTGTTCATCAATTCCAAAATGTCTTTGAGAAGAAACTCATATATTTCATTGTTAAAATATTTCTCTGTTTAGGATTTATTATAATATGTCCTAACTGATCCCTCTGCTTCTAGCTTGCCCCACTCAACTTATTTTTTACACTGTACCCAAAATGACTTTCTGAAGTACAAATATGATTATGATATTTTGGTGAAAAAATCCTTCAGTGGATCCAATTGTTTTGAGGATAAAGTTCAAAGTCGTCACCATGGCTCACAGGACATTTTGTAACCTGATTCTCCTAATCTGCACCTTTTATCCTCTGGCCACCTAAACTCCTTTCTGTTCCCCCTCTCCTTCCTGGTCTTGGAATATTTTATTCTCTCTACTTGGAATAGTTTCCACTTCTCCCAACTGCACCTGGTGAATCTACTTTTTCCTTAGGATTTGATTTGAATGTTTCTTCTTCCAGGAAGCTTCCTTTGCATTGGGTCAGATGCCACTACCATGGGTTTCTATAGCACCAAATGCTGCCTTCATCACACCCATGATGTAATTTTTTTTGTGTGATTGTACTTCCCACTTGACTGTAAACTCAATGAAGGCAGAGCTTATTTCTTTATTGTTCACTGTTATTAGTATTGCATAAATGAATAGATTTATATAGACTTCTGCTTGAATTCAATCTAACCAATCATGAGTAAAAATGTAGATTTAACCCAAATCTTATAGGAAGTGGATGTTGTAACACACACTTCTTCTTTACACCATCTGAGAACCAAGAGAAGCAAAATATGACATACTTGTCCTCACAGATCCAGAGATTGGTCTGCTGTAGGTTTTCCAGGAGTCGCCACTGACGGTTTTGACACTGAATTGATAGGATCTCCCTGGACGAAGACCATACACGATGCGTCCTTCTGATTTTCTGTTGCTGTAGGGGTTGAAGACTGTGATTGCATCTCTGGGGAACCACTGCACCTCAAAGTCATCGTAGTCTGTCCAGTCAGGTGGCCCCTTCCAGGTGATGGCCAAGGATGTGTTTGCAACATCAGTAAATGACATAAGACTAGGAGGGCTTGGGGCTATATGTAGGAGAAAGTGAAAAGCAACATAAACACTTCTGTGATATAACGTATACAAATAAGATAGCTGAGTGACATTAGACATACTTTAAATGTACTGAGGGAGAGAATGTAATATAATCATAAGAGCTTGCATTTATGGTGCTCACTATATGTAATACCCTGTCTTCAAGTGTTTTATGTACATTTCCTTTAATTTGCATGACCACAGCTTCCTTACCAGGGTGCTGCAGAGCATGAGTGTGCCAAGATATTGATTCCATCACATTTTGAGATGTAAGGCCTAAAGCCCACAGACTATGTCCATTTCCAGATGCCTTAGGCCATTGACCCTAGCATGGCACATAGATACATTAATGTTATCTGTGCATGCTCAAGAAATAAAAAAAATTTAGGAAGCACTGCTCACAGGCACACTATGATGATGTATGTGATTATACCCATTTTATAAACAAGAAAACTGAGGCTTAGAGATGCTCAATGAGCTGCCCAATTACACTTAAGTAGCAGAGCTAAGCTAAAAACCTAGATCATTTTAACTGAAATCTGTTTCCTTTATCCACTGTACTATTGTGCTGTCCCAAGTTCAGGGGGTGGCACATGGCACATTATTATTGACTTTATTTCTTCTTATTAAAACCATAATTAAAATGTGTCTTTGGAAGCTACTTCCCACCAATACTTCACCTTTGGCAAATGTGCTTCTTACCTGTTCGGCTCTCCCCGGTGGCCTGGTTGCTGAGATCGCCACTGTGGGTTACCACACACAAGGTGTATTTCCTTCCAGGAACAAGGCCATGAAAACCCCACTCTGTCAGGTCCTTCTCTTTCCAGTTTTCCTTCTTTGTGCCATTGGGATTATAGAGAATCAGCTCATAAAAGTCGAAGTCCCCAGGGGCTGGGCTCCAGGTGAACCACAGACTGTCTGTCATGTTCTGATTGGATCCCTTGAGATTACTCACAGAGGCTGGGACTGAAACAGAGGAAAAGCCTTTATTGAAAACAAAACAGAAGCAAAGGCATTTTGGCGGATGGGTGTAAATAGGATTTCTGTTGGGCATATGGATGAGTAGCTTCTACTGTAGAGTCAGATCTTGACTACATTCCGGATCACTGAGATTTAGGGGAATGTGGCCTAGAGACATGGTACAAATTAAAATAAAACAAAACAAAACACAACAGGTGGTGGCTTTGATATGCTTACCACATGGGCTCTAACGAACATATAAAATGAAATCTTCAGAAATGATTGACTAAGACTGGTCAAATAGCTTGTACTTAGCTCATGAAAGGCCCTAAAGTTGTTCATGAAAGACTCCAGCCCCATGTAGCCTGGCGCATCCCCCTGGTGGCCACCACACTGTAACATCCCTCTCTGGGGATCTTCACTTCCTCTCCAGCTTTTAGGTTCTCAGTCCTTTCATGCTCTTTCTTACTAAGATCTTTACTAACGGTCACTTCTACATAAATTGGTTGCACTGGCTCTTGTTCAGTGAATATTTGAGCATCACCATTCTTGGAAGAGTGAAGACTATTGTTCCTTGTTGGAGGGACTTTTAACATTAATGAGCAGATAAGAAAAAATGTGCCAAGCGTGGCCTTCCCCAGAAATGGTAGCAGTAGGCCAGTCTATTCATGCTTTGGGCTTATCTGCTGCTCCTTCCCATTCCCTTCAAAAGACAAGCTGAGGACTTCCATCAGGTACCTGGAATGTGCTCTCGTCGTGGCTCCCCTCGGGTTGCAGCTGAAATGCCCTCTTCTGTCTAATGTAGTTTCCTTTCCTGCCAAGTTGCTCCCTGTCGCAACGTACTGTTTATTTCCTTCATAGACTAAGGTGTTCCCAAATCACCTCCCTTTAAAATCTGCTGTTCCTTGCCCCCTCCCCTTCCACGACTGCAGAGCTCCGTGAGGTCAGGGGTACCGTCTGTTCACTGTCATATTCCAGCCATGAGCCCAATTCCTGGGACACAAGAGCACTCACTCAAAAACTACTGCCCCTCACTCAAAAATTATGTCAAGTGAAAAAAATTGAATAGAAAAATGAGGTCATGGGCTCAGATTATGGAAGAAGAGTAGATCCAGTTTATTTGCAGTCCAGAGCGATGATTCTCCCTCTTGTTTTCGGAGAATTCTTGGTGTCCATTTCACCCAGTGCTGTGGTTTTGATTCAGAGCAGTCTGCTTGTTGGTTCCACTTGCAGTTGCCCTTTCCCTGACCTGCCCTCCAGTCTACCTACTTCTTGTAGAAAGAGTAAGGGCACGGCTTGAATTGAGCCACAATGGGTTCCAACCCTCTTGCAAGTAGAGGAGCCAGATTCATTTCTTTCATCAAACCCTATGGGGTAAACAAGTGGAGGCAACAGAGCAGAAGCCAGTGCAGAAACTGTTCTGATATGCAATCATACGTCTGATCTAGGGTCAGAAAGCCTGAAGATCACAAATTTCATATAAAGCTATACTGTGGATAGACTAGGAAACTAAGGATAAATCAAGGAAAATCCCGTGACTATTGTGACAATTTCCCTGCTATTCATTAATGCTTGGGCCCTGGTCTTACCTGTTCTACCAAATATGAAAGACTCATTAGACAGCTCCCCACTGTGAGTTACAATCACCAGTTTGTACATTCGGCCTTGCAGTAAGTTCTGGAAAGAAAAGCTCTGGACTTGTGGGTCAACCTGAGCTCTCTCCCGCAGAGTTCGGTCTGGGTTGTACAGAAAGATGTTGTACCAGTTGAGCTCTCCCTGTGATGAAGTCCAGCTGAAGGATAGGTGTCTGGTGGAGTTCTCGGTGATCTGCAGATTGGTGACAGCTGCTGGGACTGGAAAAGTCAAGGAGCAAGAGGGTAAGGTTGAGTTCCGGCATGTCCTTGACACAGCCTGGGTGATGCTATGCTTGAGTGGACTCACTCAAATGGCAGCTCAAAATATATGGTCCCTAAAACTGATGAACGAAGTAAAAAACGGAGTCATGGACACATGGAATAGACTGACAGCCGTCAGATGGGAGTGGGGAGGGGGCCGGATGAAAGAAGGTGAAGGCATTAGCCAAAGATCATAGTGCATAACCCATAGACACGGACAAGAGTATGGTGATGGTCAGAGGGAAGGGGGGCTGGGTGGAGGTAGGGAGAAAGGAAAATGGGGACTTTTCTAATAGTGTCAACAATAAAAACAAAGTAAAACAAAAGACATCGTCTCTGCCTTTAAAAACATTGGCTTCATGGAGACCCTGAAGCACAGAAACCTAATTATTGATGCTAAAACTGTTCATTAAAAAAATACAAAACCACATAGCATAACACTCTCTGGAACTCAATCAACAAAACAAACAAATGAGAAAAATAGAACCAGAGGAATGGAAATAAAGAACAAACTGACAGTGACCAGAAGGGAGGGGGAGGGAGATAACGGGGGAAAGAAGGAGAAAGGTCAAGTCAACCAACATGTATGAAAGACTCGTGGACAAAGACAAGGGGGTGGGGAGGACTGAATGTGGGAGAGGGGGGTGGGCAGGGCAGGTGACAAAAATAGGGGGAAAATGGGGACAACTGTAATTGAACAACAATAAAAAATTCAAAAGCTAAAAAAACAAAACCACAAAAGAACAAGGGAAACCAGTAATAAAAAAGTATCTTAAAGATATTTTGCAGGGTACATGTGATAAATGCTAAATCTGACCTATGTGACTAAATGTTTTTCTGACTTGAAGAGCTACATTAGAGATAGAAATCTATCTATGAATGCCATCTGAGAGTAAATGACCATCAGAGGGAAGCAGAGAGTGGGTGGGAAAGAAAGGGAAAAGCAGACAGAAAGGGGAAATTAGATTCAGGGATATGAGGAAAAAAAGCAAGAGGAAAGCTAAAACCACAGTTAAAAAGTTTACATTAGGATTTTTCAACCCCATTGGCCGTTGGTACTACCTGTTGGCAAAGTAATCAAATGCCAAGAGAAATCAGCTGCTTCGAAACTGTTGGTGCAGATGTTTCCTGAGTGCACAGAAGTCTTAAGATGCAGGTGGAAACAGAACAGGACATCTGTCTTGGTCTCCCCTCAGTTCTTTTCCTCCACTGCAAACATTTTCTCAGGCCATTTTGCTTTGTTTCTATCCTTATGCCAGGCCTTAAAAGTTGGTATTTTCCATGGTTCCATCCTTTGTCCCTTCATATCTTATAACGCTAGCTGAGCAATCAATCTCACTCACTTTATGAGTTACCGTGGCCTGATGTTCGTGTCCCTTCCACCACCCAAATCCATATGCTGAAACATAACCCCCAAGATAATGGTGTAAGGAGGCAGAGCCATTGGGAGGTAACTGGATCATAAAGGTGAAGTCCACATGGACAGGATTAATGCCCTAAAAAGAGGCTCTGGAGAGCAAAGCTCTCCCTTTCTTCCACTGTGTGAGGACAGGATGAGAAGGCCCCGTCTATGAACCAGAAAATGGCCCTCACCTTGGATGTTACATACGGCCTTACATATACGTATACATAATATATTTTACATCTGTATTATATGTAACCTATATTACAGAGGAAGTATATGTATATATAATGTATGTATAAATACCTATATTTATCCTCACCTGGGGGCAATTTTTCATAGCTTTTTAGAAAGAAAGGGAGGGAGAAAAAACATCAGCGTGAGAGAGAAGCATTGATTTGTGGCCTTGAGATGGCAGCTTATCCTGGATTGTCTGGGTGGTGACCGACGCCATCACAAAAGCAAAAGATGGATGAGGGCGGCAGAAGAGTAATAAAGGAGGAGATACGGAGGCAGGCGCAGAGGCTGGCATATTCCCATTGCTGGATGGGAGCCGCGAGCCTAGGACCTCAGTGACCTCCAGAAACAGGTCAGGGCAGAGAATAGATTCTCAACCTAAACTAAAGTCTCCAGATAAAACACCACCCTACCTTGATTTTAGCCCCCTAAGACCCATTTTTAGATTCTGACCTCCAGAACTATGAGATAATAAATGGATGTTGGCTTAAGATGCTACGTTTGTGGTAATTTATTATAACAGCCACAGGGAACTAAGAGAGCCAGTTTTGAGGAACAATCTAAATTGGACTATGGTGAGCTGATGGTTGTGTCCATAGGCCAGCCAACATGGAAGTGGTGGATCATGGCGAATGTTCCTCCTGTGTCCAGAAATATATGTAAGCTCCCAACTTTGCTCCATCCCTCTCAGCCTACTGTTGTCAAGGAATAGCAGGTGAGGAGACATCTCATACAAAACAATAGGCTTGTGTGAATTACCTGTTCGGCCTTCAGTTTGGGCTTCTTTGCTAAAAAGGCCTCCGCTGACAGTGAGGATCTGTATCTTGTATTTCTTTCCTGGTGTCAGGTCTTCAAATTTGTGCTGCTTAGTCAAGGCTGGCTTTGATGTGTTACTCAGAAGGATCCCGTTTTCATTTAGAAGTAGGATGTCATATCTTTCTGCCACACCAACGGCTTTTTGCCAGTTTACTACTAAGGAATGGCTGCTGTATACATTGTCTGCAGTTATCCCCTGGACAGAGGCTGGGACTGCAAGGAAAGAGAAGAAGCAGGTCCTATCACTGACAGTAGAGTAGCCAGTTGAAAGAAACTCTGCTAAAGCAACTGCAGAGAGAAGAGCTGGCCTCATTATTGTACTGACACTTTCCGGGCACCTTTAAGGGAAAACAGTCCTTGTCCTGAATTACTTATAGAATTGCTTTGATTCTCCATTTTTTTCTCTGAATTTAGAGAGGATCTTGAAGTCAAATAAGTAAAAAAAAAATGCAGAAGTGACACTGATAAATATGCAGATTGATATGTATGTATTTTTTAAGACAACGGGAAAAATGGATATAGTCTGGAGTATAGAGTCACTCATTTGGACTTTCATCCCCAAATTAACTTGAGTCAAAGCTTTGACCTAAGCAGTGCATATAACAGTGCTTGTACTATGGCTCCTGATGTGAAATGCAAAGTAGTATTGTTTGTTAACAGTGTTTTCTGCCTTACGCTCATATTTTTTTCTCATTCTACATAACCTCCTTAGGAGAAATCCACTCCCACGGTTTGAATTTTACTCACATGGTGATTGATGACTCTCAAATTTGAACTTTCAATGCAGACCTGTTTCTAGCTTTTGCAAATGACACCTCTCTCTGATGTTCCATAGGTGCCCCACTCCCAAGATGACAAAATTGGACTCCTCATCTCCCTCCCATAACTTGCTTACTGTCCTTTGTTTTTCTGTCTTGGTCTAAGTCAGAAACTTGGTTTGTCATTCTTACCCATCTAAGTATGATTAATCTTAAGTCTTATCTTCCTCTCTCCTAAGTCTGATTTCTTTTGGGACTCTCCACTTCTCTCCCTCTCTACTCCCACTAGCCCTAGACCACAGCCTCTCTCTCATACACTATTGCAAGTGTCTTGACCAGCACCCTTGACTGCTCACCAATCAGTTTCAAACTACACATTGTACGTGGAGGATTCTCATAGTGCGCCCATGCTGATGACCCTTCAGCATCACTTCCTAATTCTAAACACCTTAACAAGGCATATGAGGCCCTTCATGATTTGACCAATCTGCTTACTTGGCCACATGGCTCACATTCTTTATTCTAGCATGTTAAGGAATATGTGGGTCCTCAATGTGCCAAGCTTTCACCTTGAGGCCTTTTCTTTTTTTCTGCTGGGACCAAGTCAATATATGTTTTATCAGGATGACTTCTTAGTGTTTGTTTAAACATTACTTTCTCCTGGAACCCTTCCCTGGCTCTTTCTGCCTGCTCCTATAGCACCCCATAATCATTTTCATTTTAGCACTTATCATATTGTACCTTCATTTCCTTTTTACTTCTCTGTCTGCTTCATTAGATTATAAGTTTCTTAAGGTCAAGGATGCTTTCTTGCTACTGAATTCTCATTTTCAAATGCAGTAAGGCTTCCTCGAGTGTAGTCGGTAGGGTAATAACATGGGTGTAATAATTTATAGTTTTAATTTGATCATTTCACCTTAAATGTCATATGGTATGCTCGAGTGTGATTTTGTTATGTTATAGAATAACGTGCTTATGATTTTGTAATAAATGGGGGCGTTATTTGTGCCAGACCCCTGTATATATCTGAAATGAAGACATAGAAGGGCCCAGGCCTCACGAAAAGTAAATGATAATAAAAAATAAAGGCACCTAATAAGTATTGTGTTACTGTAGAGAGAGCATGAGGTTTGTAGCCAGACAGATCTATATTTAGATAATAGCTCTAGATCTTAATACATGTTTCCTCAATAATGTTTCATGAACTTTCTGAGTCTTGCTCTCCTCATCCATAAGATAATGATGTGATCCTAGCTGTAGTGTGACTAGAGATAATTTTAAATGCCTGGCAATGTAGCAGGTTCCTGTAGATTATTTTTGTTTTGAAAGTAATGTATTAATAGTGATAGTAATATAAATAAATGGATATATTATTCATTCATTTATTACTTGATCTTTAACTATCACAGGTGAAGTAGATGGCATAAGTATATATGTTTTTCTTAATAAAGAATTTTGAGGAAGGGGTGAAATTTTGAAAAATGCATATTTGTTGAAGTCTGCTTGTTAAAATTTTAAATCCTTTAGCAAGTTAAAAATTTATTTAAATCATCTGGTTCCTAATTACCTTTCATTTGTTTTGAAAATCACTACTAAGAAAGAAAAATGCAAAGAAAAATATGAGAAAGGCTCTTGAAAACACAAATTTAGATGGTTTGAATTGGATATTTTTGATTTGTGATAGCTAAGCCCATTCATCGTCCTGTTCTGCAGAACAACTGGCCCTTCTGCAGGTGGACACTTACCTGTCCGCCCAAGCGCGTCTATCTGATTCCGCAGGGATCCGCTCACCGAGGAGATGACGATCTGGTACTGTTCCCCAGCCTCCAGCCTGTGGAAAGTATGCTTGGAGACGTCCTTGGAGATAGTCTGAGAGTCAACCTTTTGGTTCTGCCTGAATGCAGACACTACGTAGGAGTCCACATCTCCTCCTCCGGGAGTCCAGTTCACTGTCAGGCTATCTGTTGCCCCATTGGGAGAAATGTGAATGTTTTTGACTGTGCTAGGAACTAAAAGAGAACATAAATTTAGAAGTCATCACTTAGAGAATGAACTGTGCAAATTTCAACCAAAGTTTTTGTGCTTCTTATGCTTTGGTATCTACTGAAAGCATACACATAGAAAAAATTGGTATCAATCTACCATCTTTCTCTGACTCTTTTGCCTGTACTGTTAGTGGGGGAAATTTGAGGGACATCACAGCTGGTGAGTAGAAGTGAATAATGCCAGTGATAGAGCGAGAGGCTGTTTAGATCGCCTCAGTCCAAGTCTTAGTTTTCTCATTTATTAGCTGTGGGACTATAGGCAAATTCCTTAACCTCTGCAAGTTTGTTTTGCCATCAGAAAAATGGTAATGATTATAATAGTAACCAGTTCACAGAGTTCTGAGAATTGAACAAAACATACGTTTTGTTCCTGTGGGTCTGGTTCATGGTAAACTGTTAGTAAACATTAACTGTTATAGTGACACTACTAATAGAGTTCCAGTGAAGCGATACCCAACCAACAGAGTAATTTATACTTAAACTGTATCCTTTACAAGCACCAATCATTCACATCAATTCAATACTATTTCTCAGTAAAGCTTTTCCTTTCTTTTTTTTTATTTCCTGTACATCATACTTTTGTTCAGCCAGCTTGGAAAACATTGTTGTCACCATCAAGATAACTTCCCCCCTTCTTGCCATCTTCCTTTTATACTTCCAATTCCCCAATCAAGACAACACCTGGCTACCTGACCTGCTAAATACCATTGACCCTTGAACAAGGTGGGGGTTAGGGGCACTGCCGCACCACCTTCTCTGTGCAGTTGAAATTGTGCATATAACTTTTGGCTTCCCCAAAACTTAACTGTTAGTAGCTTACTACTGACCAGAGAAGCCTTACCAACAACATAAACAATTGATTAACTCATATTTTGTGTTTTATGTATTATATGTTACATTATTACAATAAAGTAGGTTAGATGAAAAATGTCAGGTTCCAGACAAGATGGATGTGTAGGTAGAAACCCTTCACTTCCTTGCACAACCAAAAGGAAGATAACAATCAATCCAAAATCAATAAACAAGCATAAGTGCCAGAAAATCAAATTGCATGGAACTCCGACAACCAAGGAATTAAAGAAACAGTCAACCAGACCAACCAGACTGGTAAGATGGGTAAATAGAGAGAACCCTTGGTGAGGCAGTGGAGTGTGTGGATGCAGGTGACTGAACGGGACACTGAGACTCAGAGCTGACTGTGGACTATGGTGGTTTCCCCAGTGGGAGAAACTCCCAGTCCCACACAGAGTTCATTGGAAAGTGGGTCTAGGGCCAAGCAGGGGAGCTGCATTGTTCCCTCTCTGGCCCCTCCCCCACAGGCAGTGCCACAGTGCAGCAAGGAGGGTTGTCCTTTCCAGGCGAACACCTAAGGCCCCGCCCCCTTACAACCTATCAAGTGTGCCAAGACAAAGAATATATGGCCCAAATGAAAGAACAGAGCAAAGCTTCAGAAAAAGAACTAAGTGAGGAGGAGATCGCCAACCTATCTGATGCAGAGTTTAAAGCTCTGGTAACTTAAATGTTCACAGAACTGATTGAGCTTGGTCAAGAAATAAAAGAACAAATAAAAGATACCCAAAGTAAAATAAAGCAAAACATTCAGGGAACCAACAATGACAGGAAGGAAACCAGGACTCAGATCAACAATCTAGAACAAAAGGAAGAAATAAACATTTACCCAGAACAGAATGAAGAATCCAAAAAATGAAGAGAAGCTTAGGAACCTCTGGGACAACTTTGAACATTCCAACATCTGAATCATAGGGGTGCCAGAAGAAGAATAAGAGCAAGAAATTGAAAACTTATTTGAACAAATAATGAAGGAAAACTTCCCCAATCTGGCAAAGGAAATAGACTTCCAGAAAGTCCAGGAGGCTCAGAGAGTCCCAAAGAAGTTGGACCCAAGGAAGCACACATTAAAGCATCTCATAATTACATTACCCAAGATTAATAAAGAACTTTAAAAGCAGCAAGAGAAAAGAAGACAGTTACCTACAAAGAAGTTCCCATCAGACTCTCAGCTGATTTCTCCAAAGAAATCTTGCAGGCAAGAAGGGGCTGGAAAGAAGTATTTGAAGTCATGAAAGGCAAGGACCTACATCCAAGATTACTCTAACCAGCAAAGCTTTCATTTAGAATTGAAGGGCAGATAAAATGCTTCCCAGATATGGTCAAGTTAAAGGAGTTCATCACCAAGTCCTTATTATATAAAATGTTAAAGGGACTTATCTAAGAAGTTGGAGAAGATCAAAACTATGGACAGTAAAATGACAACAAACTCACAACTGTCAACAAATGAACCTAAAAGAAAAGAAAAACAATGAAAACAAAAACTAAGCAAATAACTAGAACAGGAATAGAATCTGAGAAATGGACATCATACGGAGGGTTTTCAGCGGAGTGGGGGAGGAGAGGAATAGTGGGGGAAAAGTAGAGGGAAGAAGAAGCATAAGTGGTAGGCATAAAATAGATGGGGAGAGGTCAAAAATGGCATAGGAAACAGGGAATTTAAAGAACTTACATGCATAACTCATGGACATGAACTAAGTGGGTGGGGGATGCTGGAGGATTGGGGGTGCAGGATGGAGGGGGTAAAGGAGGAAAAATTGGGAAAACTGTAATAGCATAATCAATAAAATACACTTAAAATGTCATTGAGAAGATCATAATGAAAGAAAAATACATTTATAGTACTGTATAGTATTCATTGACGCAGTAGTAAGTTTATATAATCTCTTTACAAGATGAATTGTCATCTGTCCGCATCTACATCAATATTGTCTTTTTTTCTAAAGATTATATTTATTTATCTTTAGAGGGGAAGGGAAGGAGAGAGGAAGAGAAATATCAGTGTGTGGTTGCCTTTCATGGGTCCCCTGCTGGGAACTGGCCTGCAACCCAGGCATGGGCCCTGACTGGGAATCGAACCTCAGTTGTTTGGTTCACAGGCCCATGCTCAACCCACTGAGCTACACTAGCCAGGGCTAATACTGTCTTGTATAATACAAAACACTATAGATGTTATATGTGCTACTAACAATAGATATCAAATACAAAAAAATGTGAAAACATTTATTTTTACTTAGAGGTGCATTAATTAATGAAGAAGCAGAAATATGATTGTTTTATGGTAGCCTAGTACAATAGATATGATTGCTTCATGGTAATTAAAAAATAACCCCAAATTTTTCAATATATTTATCGAAAAGAGTCTGCATATATGTGGACCCACACAGTTCAAACGTGTGCTGTTGTTCAAGGGCCACCTGTACACCACTCTAACTAGTCGGAGTCAAGATCCATATTTCCAATTACCCGTGAAGCCCTCAACGAAGGCTGACTGCTGCACGTCTCCACTGATCGTCAGCACAAGAATTTTATACTGGCGCCCTGGTGTTAGGGAGGTGAATCGATACTCGGTTGCATTATTTACAAGATGAATAGAAGGAAATACTTTCATGTCATTGTAAAGCAGTTGAATCTCATACTGGTCGACATCCCCGTTAGCTCGGGACCAAGTCACCTGAAGGTCTTCAGTGCTCCTATCCCGCAATGTTAGGTCCTTAACAGGCTCTGGGACTGGGGAGGGATATTAGAAGACACATCAGGAAAGTGACTGATCAGAGTTTACCTACACAGTAATTTGTAAATCACATTCAAGGAATTGGCAAACATCTCCTTTCCCCAGATAAACCACTTGAATTACTTCATGCATAATTGAACAATAAAAATGGAAAGCAACTGTTAATATTGTTAAAATTATAATTTTTTTTCCTGACATAAATCTTATATGCTAAATGTTGGTAGAATCTAATTATCAAATGAGTTATGATGTCAATCATAAGATAAAACAAAAAGTCCAGAACTTTAAATGTCACAATGCAGGAACACAGGGAAGAAAAATGGCACTGGTCGCCTTCTGGTTTGCTCACCATGCTTACTTTTATCTCCCAACAAATATTCCATAATTATAGGCCATGGCTTGGCTAAACAACATTAGCTCTGAGCGAGACTTACTGGGAATGTAATTTACTGATAACTAAGTAGAGAAAATTCAAGGTTCAGATAAATTATTTACTTAATGACGTACAAGTCCCAACTGAACATCAAATTTGCCCATCTTTCCACTTACTTGTTCTCCCATTCCCTTGTTCGCTGGCTTCATACTGTCCACTTTTTGTACTAACAGTGACACTGTACAACCGTCCAGGGACCAGCTGAACAAACACACACTCATTTTCAGACTTGGGAATGCTTTTGGTTTGAGTGAAGTTGTTTTTGTTCTTAATAGTGACTTCATAGTGGTCGAAGTCTCCAGTGGCATGCACCCAGGACACCTTTAAATAGTCGCTCCGGGCTGAGTTGCTAATACTGACCCCCTGGACCTTGTTGGGCACTGAAAAAGAGAGCAGAGAACAGCTAAAGAGTCTTGGTGAGCATTTGGTCACAGATGACATCCTGGGACAATGAGAAGTGAGTAGATTTTAATTGTGTACATTTAAAAGAAAAACCTTAGACTTTTAGATCACACATTTTTGAAGAGGAAAGATTTTTATACAAATTGGAATGATTAAATAGATTTTTTAACACAACCTGATGAATTGATTCTAATTCTATTGTTGGCCTACACAAAATATTAGATACAAAATGGAACATTAAACATGATAACTGATAATTAGTATGAATGATGGTGATGATGTTAATATTTCCAGCATACCAGGGTGATGTAAGACATGACAAAAAGTCACCAAGAATAGAATAAACAATTCAAAATGAAAAGTAGAAGAAGAGAAAACACATATGGTTAATTAACACATGAAGAGATATCCGACATCATTGGAGATCAAGGAAATGGAAGCGGGGGGGGGGGGCTTGGCAAAATAGCATTTAGCATATATTTGATTTGCAAAATTTAAAAACCTGATAAAAACAAGTGTGAGAGGGAATGCCCACCCACGGGAAATTAGACGAATGAACTGGTATATAGCAGTCATAATTAATTTCCTCTTAGCTCAAAACTTGAACACATGGATTTCTTGGACTTAACACGAAAACACAAAATAGGGATGAATCTTATCGATATACTTATTAAGTGAAAAATAGTCTAAGTCCCAAAAGATTATATACCACATAAAAGATACCTTTTTATAATATTAAAAGAACCAAAAAATTTAAAGCACATAATTTTAGGAGAACAAATAATAAAATATGCAAGGTGGAAGGCAAGAGATATAAAAATTAGAGTCAAGTTGATGGCTACCTCGCCATGGATTAGTGGGGTGGAAACCGTGTGATTTGACATAGATTATTGTCAAGTTCTTAGCCTTTATTTTGGATAGTGGTTTCTCAGGTACATGTTAAATTATTAAAAAATGGTTGTCTTGCCCTGGCTGGTGTAGCTCAGTGGATCGAGCACAGGCCTGAGAACCAGATGATCGTGGTTTGATTCCCAGTCAGGGCACATGCCTGGGTTGCAGGCTAGTTCCCAGCAGGGGACCCATGAGAGGCAACCATACATTGATATTTCTCTCCCTCTCTCCTTCCCTTCCCCTCTAAAGATAAATAAATAAAAATCTTTTAAAAAGTTTGTCTAAATTAAAATTAAATGCCTAAAAGTAAATAAAAGTATCAACTGATGCATGATTTTCTGGCCCAAGAATAAGAATTAATCCACTTTTGTTTGCTTATATATTTATGAGAGGAACCTGAAATATATAAACAAACAAAAATTCTGTGTACCTACATTTTTTTTCTCAATTGATAGTCAGTAAGTACTTCTGAACAGGAACACTTTAAAATAAGGCAATTCTGCATTTAGAGCATAATATTAAGGGTATTCTAATTTTTATGTGGGGCTGTATTTTAATTCGACAGTAGGCCATAGATCCATTACTATTTAGTGAAAACTGGGCATTATAAATATATGAGAAAGGAGCATTGGAAAGAGACATGAACACCGAGTCAAGATACTAAACTTGTTTAGCATCTTGTTTAGGATAGTAAATCAGATTCAAGATACTAATGCTTGTATCCCAATGCTAGCATGTCTTTGAAGGCTGTTATGTTTGGTAAATCAGGAATTTTTCCTCTGGCCACATGCCAAACCTATGTCCAAGTCTTCTCTTCCACTTGCCCCCAAAGCATGACATAATAATATTTTGGCATCTGAGCTACATTTTTCATGATGTTTCTCATACCTACAAGTTGCACTACTATCCTTTGTTAGCTATGTGTACTGGTTAGATTTTGTATTGGAATAAATTTCACCACAGGTATGGAGCAAGGACAGGTATGCTTTCTTCAAGATATTTACCTGCAACCAATTACAGTGTTGCCCGAACTTAGTCATCACAGAGTTAAGGAGCAGAAATTCTGAAGTGACATATTCTTGGGGTAAGAAAGTCAATGATGCAAGCAATTTACTGAAGGCAAAGCAACTATTATAGAAAGAAAGACCAGGCTGAATACCATGCTAAGTCAATAAGGGGCTTCCCAGTAGGACTGGAGGTAATTTGTAAGACTTGCCTTGCTGCATGGTGAGATGATGTGACACAGAATTAGAAATATTGATATTTTCGCCCAAAATGTAGAACAAGAACATTAGAAAAGAAAAAGGGCAATGAGACAATCAGCCTGAATCAACAAGACGATAACTCAGACACGACTCTCTAGTTAAACTGATTTGTCAGGGGTAATGGTTGGCCTTCGTTAGTCATGCACCAAATCCAAGTTCATGTTGGTGAAGAGTCACGAGGGTGCTTTGAAAAAAGGATCACTTTTCTTGTACTTAAAAACAATCTTAGCAAAAGGCCCTACAATGTGAGGGTCATATTGATAGGACATATTCGTGAGTTGACACCAAGAAGTTAGTAGTTGACATATCCTTTAGTTTCTGCTGATATTTAGGCTTCACCTTGACCAACAGAAGACACTGACATAAGGCTGCTTTGCAAACAGAAATCTGCTTTTCAGGTTTAAGTCATTATTGTGATTATCAGTATAATTAGACTTTAAATAATTTGAGGGTAGGGAATATCTCTATATCTTTGACTGGTGCTTTAAGGCATAGCAACATGTAATGGAAATAGTGTTGAACTTGACTGCTGGTCAGCCATGTGACCATGGAGATGCCAGTTTCTCTGGGACTTTATCTCCAAATGAGATGAAATTAGACTATTCTTCAAACACTTTCAGTGCTGGCATGATGTAACAATGTAAATCAGTGGTTCTTGAACCTTTCTGAGGTCACAGAAACTATGAGAATCTGGTAAAAACCATGCATTCCCTGTCTCCCGGCACCCCCAAGGGACATATCCCCAACAGCTTCAGGCACAATTTCCGGGATGACTACAATGTTAAAGTCTACCAATGGAGCACCAGGGGTAAATCCCTGATCTCCCTATGTGATTTCTGATTCACCAAAGACTTATTGAGGGCCCACTACATCCAGATCTTCATGGAAAAACTGACATTTTTCAGTGTAAATATCAACCCATAGCTCAGCTGGAAAGATCTGACAAAATACTGATATCAACCATAAGCAGAAATCTCAGATGTAAACCCCAGGAAGCAAAAGTATTTTGGGGAAATGCTAAATGTCTAAATTTAGTTATTTCCAGTACAGCAGACCTGGCATCCTTTGCTTTTGCTAAGGTTTTTGTTCTTGGCCCCAGAACTACAAAGATTCACATTTCCACCTTGTGTGAAAAAGGATGAAGAGTGGTCACGACCAACAGACATTTCCGGAAGCATTTCAGGCTGAAGAACTTAAGGGGCTCTGGAGTCACTCAAACCTGGATTTAAATCTTGGATTTGAAAAGCACTGGCTATTCAACTAATTACTGTAAACAGTGGGCAAGTGACTTAATGTTGAATCTTGCTTTCCTGATCTCTAAGATGGGAATAAGGAAAGCATATACCTCAATAAGAAGTTTTCAAGGGTTAAGGTAGTTAACATATGTAAAGCCAGGGTCTAGCAACCAAAAAGTACTCCTTAGACCACAGGTGGCAAACACAGGCCTGGGGGCAGAATCCAACCCTCCACCTTGTTTTTTCCGTCTTGGCATCTTGTTTCTATCTGGTGGTAGTGCCAAGTTCTCCATTAACTGTTAAGAAATAGTTACATTTATACAGTCCTAAAATTACATTCGGCCCATTTGAACGCAACCTTGACGCTGATGTGGCGAAAATGAGTTTGACACCCCTGCCCTACACAGACATACTTGTTATTATGTTTGAATATAATATGAATTCCAGTCATGAAAGTGGTGCTCATCATATACTGAAGATAACATCTGCTCACATAAGGGGTTTCTTAGGTCGAAATATGAAGGCCCCGTTATAGTTTTGTGACCTCAGTCACCGGCCTCTAATCCAAGCATTACAGAAATACTGCAGATCTAAGGTGGCTGAGCCACACAGTGGGCTGGCACCTTCAGAGCCCATACCTCCTTGCAGGCTTACCTGTCTGATCTTGGCTGAGGGAATGATTTTCATACTTGCCACTCCTTGTAGTTACAGTCACATCATAGAGGCGGCCTGGGGTGAGGGAGCTGAAGGAGCATTCGCTGACAGACTTGGCAATGACAAGGGACTGAACCACTTTGCCGTCATGAGAGAGTGTCACTACGTAGTTATCCACGTCTCCAGGAGCTGGCAGCCAGGATACACTGAGATAGTCATTACGGCCAGAATTGTTTACCGTTACTCCACTCACACTGGAAGGGACTGTGATGTTAAAAAGGGAGAGAATTTTTTTTAAAGGACAATCAAAACTTTGAGTCATTTATTTATGGTGAACAATAACAGTGTGGACTCAGGAGATCTAATCTGATCACCTTCTCGGTGAAGGAAATGCTCTGGAAGCTGAGTGCTTACTTCAGAAAGCTAACCGAAATACAAATGCCAGGGAGACTTTCTGATGCCTCGTAAATGCAAGGGGGCCCCTGCTGCATTTTCATGGTGTAGCTGTTCATAAAGTATCTTAAGTGAAGGCATTTTTACGTAAATGTCTCAGGAAATTTCTTAGGTAGGAAAGGGAGCAAGCATTCTAACAATCCAAATGAATGGGTTTGAACCAAACTCATCGATAAAGATGTTTGAGCAAAAGAGTGAAGAATGCAATAGCTTTTCTAAAAAGCTTAGATTTGGGAATAGTTTTGATCTTCTTGTGATGAAGTTATTTATTCCTGGGAGTTTAATACCTAACAACCAGACATGTTTTGTTTTTATTTTTTTTCCCCTCTATCTTTGCAAAGCATTTCCTGCCCTCTAGTGGCAAAAATAAACCTAAAAGTCTATCCTGGAAGCAGCAAGTCTGGTAATTGGTCCAAGAGTGGTCAGGAGAGCTACTGTGGTGAGAATGGCCTTTCTGATGTCAGCTGTGACCACTGGCTTATTTTAATTGGAGTTTAGGACCACAGACATTCACGGAGGGCCTATGACTCGCCATGCATACAAAATAAAAAAGATGCAGATATTTTTAAGGAGATCCCTGGCTAGAAGTAGCCTGTAAAGTAATCAATGTGGTATTGAGGAATCGTTGTACCATGTATCAGAAAAATGTACACAGTAAATAGTACTGCCAGTAGTGACTATCAGAATAACAGAGTCCTATCGTATATACAAACTGCACAACTGTTTTCATCATTACTAAACTAACTTCAGCTAGAGTTTCCATATATTCAACAATATCAGCACATCATGCTTAATGGATGAGATTTAGCATGAAATCACTATCATGTCACCGACAGAGTTTTTTTCTAGTTGTGTCACACTATTGGAGAGTTTACAAAATTCAGAATTGATTGTCTCCTACACTCATCCACCTCCCAACTTCCATTCCTGAGACAGCAACACGTACCTTCTGGATGGGACTGAAGATCAGAGATTAACCTGTTTATAGAATGTTTTAAAAATGGAACGCTGGAGGTGCCAGAGTTCTTGGATGTGCTGTTCTTACCTGTCCTTCCTTCCATCACAGCCTGTCGGGAGGAGATCCCTCCGCTGACTGTTGTTACCACCACGGAGTAGAGACTGCCCGACTTGAGGGAGTGGAAGTTGTATGTGCTGGTCTCACTGGAGATGTTTTCGTTTTTGATGACCACGTTTTCATGAATGAGCAAGACTTGGTAGAACTCTACGTCTCCCATTGCCTGGGTCCAGTTAGTGAACAGGCTGCTGGTTGTCCCTTGGTTGGCCACATGCAAGCCAGTCACTTGGGCAGGGACTAAAACACAGTAGACAGACAGAAAGAAAAAACAGATGACACTTAGTCATCCGAAGGAAGCACAATAAAATTAAGTACAAAATGAAGACAGTCTTGAAGATGCTAAATATATATCCATTGCTATAGACTCTCTGCTCTACTTCCTGTGGCATATGGCAAACTACTCCTTTAGAGACGCTACTATTATGAAAAAGCTGCCTCCATGGGAAATCAAAGTTATTTTGGATCTAAGGAGGAGATGATGCATGCATATTAAATAATTCTGATGTAAAATTTTCAATAATGAAAGGCTGCTTTAAAAAAAAAAACCTTGCTCACTCAATGTGATTTCATCTTTCCCACCCCCTGAGAACACAAAACCACATCATCGCCTGAGCTGATGGCTGAGCGATGATACTGGGAGGTCCTTTCCGCCTGGTGATCAGCTTGTAGTCTAGAAAACTGGTCAATTCTTTACTGGCACAGTCCCAAGAGAACTATTATCATTATTATAAATGAAAACATTACAATAACAGAAATTATATTATATAATAATAATGCAACTACTGAGTGCCTCCTGTGTGCAGTTATGGGCTGTATGCTTTATAGAGATTATATTATATGATACTTATTCAAAACTCCATAAAGTTCATTTTATTATTCCCTTTACTGACAAGGAGACCCAAAATCATAAAACATAAGCAATTCAGCCTATGTCACAGTGCTAAAGAGTAGTTAACCTGGGGTTCGAAGCCTGATCTTCCCAACCTGTGGGCCTGAGCCCTTTTCCGAACTCATAACTGCTGTGATTTCTAATCTCTCCACTGACAAACCTTTTGCACAAATCTCAAAGTTGGCACTTGATCAACGTATATCTTCTCTGTGTCTCTTCCCTGAACTATGGTAATCAAAGAGATTGACCTTGGCACAACTCTCCTCAGAATTCATTGATTTTGGATTCAGATACAAACATAGTCATTAAAAATATTATTTTGGATGAAGGTGGTCAAAAGGGATATATTTCCAGGTAAAAGATAAATATGTTGAAAGTAAATCCTATGAGTTCTCATCATAAGGAGAGCATTTTTTTCTCATTTTTTTTATTGTAGCTATGTGAGAAGATAGATGTTAGCTGAAACAATTGTGCTAATCACTTCATAATATATGTGATTCATTCCATCACACTATATGCCTTAAACTTATAGTGATATGTGTACATTATTTCTCAATAAAGCTGGAAAAATATTACTATATGTGATCAGAAGATTCAATTTTAATTACAAACTTAATGTGTAAAGCACAGAAATTAATATCCCAAAACAATTTTGGAAAAGATGGGAGGACTGACATCATCTAATCTGAAGACTTACTAGAGAGCAACAGCAATGAGGACAGTGTGGTCCTGGCACATAGATCAACAGAACAGACATGAAAGTCCAGAAGTAGGTCAACACATACATAGTCAGTTGATCTTTTACAGAGATTCAAGGGCAATGAGGTAGAGAAAGGATAGTTTGTTGTTTTTAACAAATAGGGCTTGAATTATTAGATGTCCACATACAAATAATTAAACCTTGACCCATCTCTGACACACATATAAAATTTAACTCAAAAGAAGTCACACACCGAAAGTTAAAACCTAAAAGTATAGAAACTTCTAGGAGAAAAATCTTTGTGATATTATGTTAAACAAAAATTTCTTCGATATGACACCAAAAGCATGATCCATGAAAAAAATGGATAAATTGGGACATTAAAATTAAAAATGTACGTTCTCCAAAATACACTAATAAATTAGTGAAAAGACAAACCACAGAACATTTCAATATACATTTATGACCAAGAACTTACATCTGGAATAAAGAATTCTTTTTTTAAAGATTTTATTTATTTATTTTTAGAGAGAGGGAAAGTGAGGGAGAAAGAGAGGAAGAGAAACATCAACATGTGTTTGCTTCTCATGTGCCCCCTAATGGGGACCTGGCCTACAACCCAGGCATGTGCCCTGACTGGGAATTGAACCTGTGACTGTTTTGTTTGCAGGTAGGTACTCAACCCACTGAGCCACACCAGCCAGGGTGGGAATAAAGAATTCTTAAAACTCAATGATAAGAAACAAACATGGGCAAAATGTTTGAAAACATCTCTTTCCTTAAAGAAGATAAACATGGTAAATAAGCAAATGTAAAGGTACTCAAACCCATCAGTCATTAAGGAAATGCAAGCTAAAAACACAGGAAATATCAATTCCCACTTAGTAGAATGACTAATATTAAGAAAAAAAACCTGACAATACCAAGTGCCACTGAGGATATGGAGGAACTAGAAATCTTATACATTTTGGTGGGGATACAAAATTTTACAGCCATATTGGAAAACAATTTGGTAGTTTCTAACAAAGTTAAATACACACTTACCATACAGCACAGCACTCTAAGTGGTGGGAATAAAGAAAATGATCCTAAGACTAAAACAATGTCTTGGACTTACATCTCCAGCAGGATGATGGGCTACCTACCCATGAAAATCTCCACAATAAACACAACTACATGTGTTGAATAAAACATAAAAATGTAAATGCATAAATGAATTGTCAAGAATGCACAGAATTCTCAGAGGCCTAAAAGTAAGTGCTAGACAGGCAACTAAATTACTGAAGCAGAACTTCATCCTGTAGGCATCTTTTAAACACACATTTACACTTTGATTTTATAGCTTCACAGGATCCTACAAAACAGGAGGTAAAGTGTAGGACTTTCCCAGGCTGAGGAACCTCGTAAGTAACCCCGTGTAACATTGGATCCTGAAATGTTATATTCTAAGTATAAGTAAAATAAATATTCCCTTTTTACTCCCATATCACCTCAACCTCCTAGACAATGGGAGGAAGAGAAAAAATTTCCACTGGAATTCATAACCTCAACACAGCTTCAGTGAATTTGCAACTCAAGTTCATAAAATCTAGATGATCAAAAAACTCTCGAGATGACAGTTTAGATTAAAATAGGCCTGGGTTGAAAGTAATCCTGTGCACCTGAAGGAATAAAGTGACAAGAAAGTTCTTTTTGAAACCCACTTTCAAACCAGGCATCAAAGAATTCCCACAGAAGAAAATCCTAACATATGTGAGTTCACAGTAAAAAGTTAGAAACATTTAAAGAAGTATAAGCATTTAACTGCTTCCTTTGCTCAATCTGTATTTGTTCCTTAAGCAAAGATTGTTTATGTATTACATTTCATCTACCTTATACTTAATTGTATGTAAAATTTCCTCTCCCCAACAAAAATTTTATTTTCATATGTTAAAAAAATAAAGAAACAAAGTGGCATGAGCAAAAGGAAACAAACTCAGTAGACAACAGAATGCACCCCTGAAGATTTTACATATTATAATGAACAGAAATAAAATATAAAATAAAAATTGTTAAAATGCTTATAGCAATAAAGGAACAGAATGAAACTATGACTAAAGAGAATCAAAGACAATGTTTAAAAGTGAAAAAAATGCTAATTAAATTTTAAAACTCAGTGGATAGGTTTTTAAATAGTTTGGACAGAACCAAAGGAAAAAAAATGAACTTAAACAAAGAGCTGAGAAAATTATCCAAGCTATAGCCCAGAGAACAAGTACATGAAAAATATTATATAAATAATATTCTAGCATACCAGTGGAAGAACAGAGAGAGGATGGGAAAGAGGCAAGAGGCAATATTAAAGAGTTAATGGATGAGAACTTCCAGGACTGATGAAAGATACTAAGCTGCAAATACAGAAATCCCAATAATCTCAGGCAGGATAAACTAAAAGAAGTCTCTACTTAGATCATTGCCATGAAATAGCAGAACAAAGGCAAAGAGTTGATTTTAAAAGCAATCATAAGAAACAGAGTACCCACAGAGAAATAAGAATTAGACCGACAGCTGACTTTTCAACATCAACAATAAATGTCAGAAATACTTGAGTAATGTCTTGAATGTGCTGGGAGAAAATAACTTTCAACCAAATTGTAACCCAGGGAAAACATCTTTCAAGATTGACAGCTATATAAAGATATACCCAGAGAAACAAAAGTATAGAGTCTGTCCCTAAAAGTCTCAGTAAAGAAATTTGAAGAATGTTCCCCAAGTTGAAGAAACAAAATACAAGGTGAAATATCTGAGATATAGAAAGAAAAGAAGAAAAAATTGGTAAATTGGTGGGTCAGTTCAAGGATACTCTGACTGTATAGCACAATAAGTATATTTTTGTGGGTTTAAAAAGGAGAAATAAAATAAAGGACAATAACAGTATATAAATTGGGAAGGGGAGTTTTTGATGATGACCTTGCTTCCTATTTCACTTAGAAAAGGAGAGAGTTATCAAAAGATAACAACCCATCACTCTATTTGCTGTACCTGCACCCATATCTCCCTCTCCCCATCTCCCCCCCCCCCTTGCAGCTGACTCTAAAGTTAAGCTACCTGTGCTCCTTTCCAAAGCCAACTCTTTAACTTACGCTCTACGTTCCAATAGCTCTTGCCTACTCAGAATAATGGAAGCAACTCTAACTCTTCCCTTTCTCTGTATAGCATCACCGTCCTTCTTTCCTCTAAAACATTCCCATCAGCATAAAGTACGTTGTTATTTATTCTACCATTTAAAAAAAATCACCCTTCTTCCAAACATATTTTCTCTTTCAGATGCTGCCCTACTTCCCAGCTCTCCTTTGTAGCATGACTCCTCAGAAAGGTTGTTCTCTGCTCTAAGTTTAGCAAAATAAACTCAAAGTAAAAGAAAACAAGACAAAATATGGAGCGATTAAAGACAAGAGGTGAAATTGTAAAAAAATAGAAAACAAACAACAGAAAGGATCTATAAATGAAGGCCTGGGACATAACAGGCACTTAGTGAACATTTATAAGTCCAAGTGTTAAAGAATTCAGCAGACAGGATACTTTTAAAGCCTAAAGTTTAAAGAATATTACCTGTTCTTCCTTCCATTGAAGATGAATTTTTTAAGTCTCCACTAATACTGGTGACAGTAGCTATGTATTTTCGACCAGGCACTAGGTCAGTAAAAGTGAATTCTTTGGCATCTTTGGGGAGTGACTTGTGGATGAGCAAGAGGTCTCTGTCTGCTAGGGAGATGATGTATTTCTCCCATTCTGCAACTGGGGCCTGCCATAGGATGCCCAGGGAGGTTTCATTTGCATGTTTGACACGAAGCTGGAGAACAGCCAGGGGGACTGAGAAAAAAACAAAAAGAAGTTTGGGTCACAGACTGACTCAAAAACACTCGCTCAGAACAGCTCTCTAAATATTCTTTAGAGAACAGCTGTTCTCTTCCACCTACAGGAGGGTTCCAATTCAGCATTTCTTTTCTAAATGTTTATGAACATGAAGAAAAAAAGCTAATCATAAAATCTTTATACAACATGTTTATACAACATGGCCAGAAACAAGGACTCAAAATATTACAACTGGAAACTATTTCACTAGGTCTTTTATTTTTGGCCAGATGATACTTTTTGAGTGCTTATTTTTCCTATGAATTCTATGATATGAAAATATTTAATTCAATGTCATCATCCACAACACCCACAAAACCACAGAGAAAGATCCATGTCTGAGTACTTCAGGAGGGGTTAGGAGTATCTGTTGCCCCCATAGCTTGGGAAGACAAAGGGATTTTTCCTTCATTTCTGACGAGGGAATGCTGATGCATCAATGAAAGGGAGAGCAATAAGAGTATAGCTGGGAACTAATAATAGTATCTGATTAAAGACTTTCATTATCCAAAGAATTGAAATTTCTTCCATTTCTTTAAAAGGTAAGTTTTATTCTTAGAGCTTCTAAGAGACATTGTTAAGAGTAAAGTGTTGACTCCATAAAACAAGAGGAAAACAAAATTATGGAAGAATTAAGTGTGCACAATTATACTGTGAATTTTGCATTGAAGAACTTTTGTCATCTCCTATGATAACAACGCCTTCTTCTGGAACACCTCCCGAATTACCAGCCTGAGAGATACTTGAAGATGTATCAGAAATATGTACATGGTGGTTTGCTTGGTTTCCTTCTTTCTTTCAAATCACAGATTTGCCTGTAAGCCAAGAATGTACCATGAACATTTCTATTAATGAAAACCTTTTGGCGTTGGGGTCCATGTTTTCAAACTTTTTTTTAAGGGTTTGGTTGAGGTCTGCAAAACCCTTCATTGTGAATTTTTTGGTGGGTTCCTTTTCTTCTCCTATAGTTTCCTTTTTTGCTTTCCTTTCCTTTAACCAGATGTTCCTGATCCACTTCCAAGAGCTTCTCATTGGTCAGTGCCTCAGGAACCACCTCCACGTCATCTCCATCCACACCCAGGTTAAAGCTCTGCCATCCAACACAGCTGTGTTGATTTTTGTAATCTCCTCCCTCTTGGCAAATCCTTTAAAGTCATGGACAGACCTTTTGAATGTCTTCTTCCAGATGCTATTCATACACTCCTTGGTGACGTAACCCATGCTGAAGCAAGGTTCTTGATGAAGTCATAGATGTTGTAATCCTCCCAGAACTCCATCTGTGTTTTCTTAGTGTCTCCCTCCACTACAGTAATAGCTTGGGCAAAGGTCCTCCCCAGGACCTTACAATCTCCTGTAACTCCTTGATCCATTGGTTGGATCAAAAAGGTGGTGTCTTGAGGGAGAAACACTACTTTGACATTGGGATGAACATCAACAATAAGCAAAATCTCTAAAGGCATGCTATTCCCTGTACTCAGCAATTCAGGAGTGCATCCTAGAAGAGGGACTGGGCTACCTAAGACTTCTTATCGGTCCTCATGTACACTGGCAGAGTGTGCTCATTAATATGCTTGAAGGCCCCGTGGTTCTCACTGTGCCAGGTCACAAAGGGTTTTAATTTGTAGCCTGCCACATTGTCCTAAAGGAAGACTATTATTCTGTCCTTAAAAGCCTTGAAACCTGGCATTGATTTGGCCTCTTTATGGATGAAAGTCCTTGGAGGCATCCACTTCCAGAATAGGGAGTTTTCATCTGCATTGAATATTTGCTTTGGCAAGTGATTTTCCTTCATAATCAGCTTATCTAGAGTTTCCAAAAATTCTTCAGGAACCTTTGCTCACGTTCACATTATGTAATGAATAATGATTCTTGAACTGTTTCAGCCACCCAGAGCTAGCAGTGAACTCAGCATCATGGTCAGGCCCAGCTTTTTCTTCCAACACGGCACACAAGCAATCTGCTTTGGTTGTGAGCGTCCCGGTGCTGAGAGGGATGTGCTTCTGCATCAGGTCTGCAAATCTGGGTCATTAGGAGTGTCTCCTTGTCTGACAAAGGCCCTTCTCAAATCTTTGTTAGTCTTGTTCCCTTCCATAAAGCAGACATTTTCACAGCTTCCATCATTTCATTCTTGTTCTTCAAGAAGGCAACTATGATGGAATGGGATGCGCCTACTGGCGGGCAATAACCATCACCGATTTTCCAACTTCACAGTCCTTAGTCACTTTTAATTTCATTTCCAGGTCAGTCTCTCAATGAGGCCTCTTATTGGCAACATGAACAGTGAATTTTGTACATGCAGGAGTCATGATGACTGAAGCAACATGAGATTAAATTAAGCACAACAGAAATGATGCACTTGAGATAGAAAACATAAGATGTGTGCGCTGCTTCTGGTGTAGCACAGCACCTTGTTTTACGGCAAACATTTTAAAAATAAATAGGAAAAGTACATTATAAAATAATAATACAAGTATAGTATAGTAAATATATAAATCTGTAACATAGTCTTTTGTTATCATTATCAGGTAGTATGTACTGTGCATAATTGTATGTGCTGTACTTTTACAGGACTGGCATAGTAGTAGGTGTGTTTACACCAGTGTCACCACAAATACGTGAATAATGTATTTGAGCTATGATGTTATGATATCTATGATGTCACTAGGTCCACTATGATCTTATGAGGCTACTGTTGTATGCGGTGTCCGTCACTGACTGAAATGTCATTATGCGGCTCATGACTGTAGAAAATAATGGAGTGATTAGCAGAAATGATCTCTCATGTTCTTATTGGACCAGACTAAGCATTACCAACCCTATTTTAGTCTGCAAGCATAGAATATCTCCAGTTCAGAAAACACCAGGGTACAACATTAACAGTTTTCTGGGTTACTTGGTAAAGGGAGCAAGTTAAGATTCCACCAGTTAGTAACACCTTGACATTTGCTTACCTGTCCTGCCTTGGCAACGCTTAGAGTTCTTCAGATTTCCACTCTCAACAATGATTTCTATATCATACTGCCTTCCTGGTATCAGCCCCATGTCATTTATGACATAGTGTGTTTCCTCCTTTCCCACGGTGACATTGAGCAGCACCCAAGAATCATTGAAGAGCAGGATCCGATACTGCTCCCAGTCTCCAGCAGGGGGCGACCAGCCCACTACCAGGGACCTTGCCGAACCGTTGCTGTGTGCTTCCAGGTTCCCAACTTTCTCTGGAACTAAATGGTAAAATGATGTCAAAAAGAAAATACTAAAAACCAAAAGTAAGGATACTCATTCATTCTTCACGGGCAACATTTCTATCCTCACCTGATGTTTATGGATTGCAAATGAGTGTTTTTTCCTCACTTTGGGGACATTTGATACTCAAGAAATTTATGCCCAAATTGCTTTAGTAATATATCAGCGTAATATAACACTATTCATAACCTAGTGATACGACTGCTGTGTTTACTGACTGCGCACCAGCTCTAGAGTCAATACCGATGTTGCATCTATCATGGTGACGTTGATGGATGTGGTATTTTTTGGAAGAGACTGCATGTTGTGGTCATAAACATTCCTCTTTGTTATCCAATTGAGAAGACTTATCTTACAATATAGTTCTGATGTTATTTGCTTGAAAACATTCAAGGTCTCTATTAACTACAGAATAAATCATCAAGTCCTTGGTGTGGCATTTGTAATTCTCCATTGTAAGCCCCCCTATCCTTCCAGTCTTAATTCTGATACTCCTGCGGCCACCCTCCCTCCTTCCCACTCTCTCCAACACTGGCCTCCAGGTGCTTGTTCTGCAGATCTGTGTGTGAGTCTCTCGGGCTCTTATGCCTTTGCTCATGTCATTCCTCCCACCTCAAATCCCCTTCCTTCTTTTCCCCTCTGAGAAGTCTTTACTGGTCTTCGGAAACAAAAATCTGTTCTCTTGTCTCTCTGACCATATGGCTCTTTCTTTGGATCTCTAATAGCATAGGGAACAGACTCTGAAATCAGACAGCCTGATTGAAACTCCAGCCACAATATTAACCAATGGGATGGCTATCGACAAGTTATTTATCTGTAAAATGGTGATAATAACAGGACCTTTCTTGTGGTTTTGTTGTGAGAACTAAATGAAATAATAGTGTAAAATACTTAGTGCCTGACACATGGGAATATCAATACAATTACCATGATTAAAATGTACTGCAGTCTTTTTATATTTGTGTATATGTTCTACATTTGTGTGATTAAAAAGTAACTTCCTTAAAAGCAAGAGTAAGCAAGTAAATATTTCAGGCTTTGTGGGCCATTATGGTCTTTGTCTCATTTTTTAAAAGCATTTAAAAATGTAACAACCACTCTTAGCAAGAGGCTGTGCAAAAACACATTACAGGCCAGGTTTGGCTGAAGGGTGTCATTTGCTGAACCCTGCCATTTTAACAACTCCCAGAGCTCACTGTACAATTATTTACACATGAAGGCACTAGATAATTTAGTAAATAACAATATAATTTAGTAAAAGGCATGGTTAAATGCTAACTGGCCCTTACTATAAGAGTTGATCGGAAATATTTAATTCATTATTATCAGTGCTAAGGCATTTATACCACTTAAGTGGTACAATGTGGAACAGCGCAGGGCAGAGCCATCTATGTAGATCATGCAGGAATCAACCAAATACCTTTGCTTAAGTAACTTGGCTGAATGCAGTTAACCCTCTGCTTTGCTCTGTACGTGGGGCCCGGGCCAGCAGACACCCTCAGTCATAAAGACCATACTTTCCAGGCTGGGAATGGAGTTTCCCTTCTAACTTATTTTATCCTAGTCTAAGATGGATCAGAGACTGATATGGGCAACAAGGAATATTCTGGAGCCCAGACTCACCTGTTCTGCCAACTGCCATCTTGTGAGCAGACAATTCACCAGAGACAGAGCTGACAGTAACTTGATAAAGTCGTCCAGGGGTTAAGTCTTTAAATTGGGTTTCCGTAACCTGGGGTTCTAATCGTCTGGAGTTTTTGATGGTCCCTTGGTGAGACAGGGTAACGTTATAGAAATCTATATTTCCAGGAGGTATTTGCCACTTGACTTTTAGAGAGGTCAGAGTGCCATCATTTGTCACCTTCAGATTTAAGACTTCCATGGGGGCTAAATCGGAAGAAAGGAAGAGACTTTAACTCAGGATATCTTACCAGGCTCATGGCCAAATTTTGATCTGAGTTTTAATCTTGACAAGCCACACCCCCTGTACAGAAGAAAATGACAAATTTATGAGGCAAAAATAATACTTCAGAACAAAAGGAAGATTATCTGGCTAGTGGGCAGAACACAAATGTGGCAGTAGGAGCCTAAATTCCGGCTCAGACTGAGTCAGGTTGGCTGGGCAACAACCCTGAACAGCTCTGCCTAGGTCCCTGAGCTTAGGGGCCCTGTTGGTAAATGAGGGCTTGGCCAAAATTCTTTAAGTGGAATGCCAATTTCTACTTAATTACATCTGCCTAACTTCTTCCCCTTTTTATTTATTTAATAATAGCAAGTACGTAATAGCTCGATCAATGGATTAGCTATTACAAAATTTTGTGTGCTAAAAATACTGTCTTTTTAAAGCATGGTAAAATTAAAGCTCATGAGTTGTGTCAATGACTCACTGATCCTGAAATTAAAATTTTAGCTTGTTCTTCCTCCTCAAATTAAAATAAAGAGTTGTGTCATTATTTCATCAATGGAAAATGATCACAAAGGAAAGACGTTTTGGTGAATATTTTTTTCTACCTCTTGTTTATTCTATAATTTTGGATCTTACTAATGTCATCATATAAATTAACAACACTTTGGGTGTAGCATACTGATTTTGCAGAGAGTGGTTAGAAGTGTAATCTATTCTTGGTATACATGAATTGTTCTTAACATAGATGCTACATTTTTCTTGGGATTGTCTATATATCCTTGAGATGTAATGGAAAAGATGTATGTAAATATACAGGTTTCCCCAAATGCCATTCCCACTGGCCTCCTACAGTTTCAGACGCCCTCACCACTAGAGTGATTTCTAAGACACCACATATTTTAGAGTGACTTTGAAACTTAGATAACTTTCCAGGAGAGAGTGTTTATTAACAAGTTAGATCCACCAGAAGCATTGGCATCTACTAGAATGTAAGTTCCATGTGGGCAAAGACTTTGTCTCTTTTCGATGCGGTTATGTCCTCAGTGCCTAATATGCAGTTTATAACCACAGCTATGGAATAAATGAATGAGTGGGCATATGAATTTATTCATGAAAACAGCCCCAGTTAGTTTATCAGGCAGCATTAGGCTATGAGAACAGGCCCTGTAGTTCTGTTTTGTTGGCTAGAGGTTGGAGGAAATGGCTATTTCTTGGGGGAAGGTCTTTGCGTGGCACTGAGAAAGGTGCCCTGCTCCACGGTGAGTGATGTCACAAGAGCAATAGAATCCTGTTTAAAAGAAGGGAGACTGGCACCCCGAGATGGGGAGCCAAGTCCAGATTAGTAATTAATTTTGCTACTTCAGAATGTTGTCAGGGCCTATAATAAAAGAGAACCCCTCTTTTTTCTATGCAGAAAAATGGATGCACGTTAAGGGCCTTCTCTAACATAGAATTTCAATTGGTCCTATACTGCCATTACTCAAATAATGAATAAGCCTTGTTTGTTAAACATTCCCTTGATTTGCACTTTATTCTTGTTCAGTTAGCTAGGGAACTTACTTGTCCTGGCCAGTTTCCACTTGCGGTTTTGCAGCCCTGCAGCCTCAGTTATAATGGTGAGGTTATAGAGATGGCCAGGCGTCAGTCCGTGAAAAGTGTAGGAAGTAGTATGTTTGTCCACGACAGTGCCATTAACTAGGATCCCTTTATCCATCAGTATCAGCTGGTATCTTTCCACATTCCCGGAGCCATGGGACCAGGAAATCAGGAGAGAATTAGTTTGCGCTGAAATACCAATGTCTTTCACCAGGGATGGCACTAAGGGGACACAAGGGATTTCCAAAGTGTCATTCATAACTTCCTTGGAGAAGACAGAGACACATTTAATTCAAAACTGCACATTCATTTATGCTTCCCTGTAATCTAACTTGTTTGATAATGAATGAAAACAGCACTTTTGAAATTTCACTGACACCTAGATTAATGCTCTTTCCAAAGTCCACAGCCTCAAGCTACATTATAGTTTACCTGTCTGTCTCCCCGACTTAACAGGGATTAGGTAATTTCTGCCAATGAGGTATGCTGTGGCATAACAGTAAAGGGAAAAGAAAAAGGAAAGAACTCTAGGAGAGAAAAAAATGGAAAATAGCAATAAAGTTGGAGAGAAAACGAGGGAGAGTAATGGTAAGAAAGGCAATTCTATGGAAGAGGTCACTATGTGTCATTGATATTAGGGAAGGTAGGTGTGAGCAGAGACTTTTTACCAACATGGGAATCTTCAAAAAATACCATGACTTGATGTTGTGAGAAGAGAAAAAGGAAGAAAGCATTCAAGAAATGAATTTTATGGGGCACAAACTCAGAAAATGCTGTTGCCTAATATTTGAGTTAGAAGGGCTAGTAGGAAACAGTTACTTATTTTGGAAAAAATTCTCATCCCAGAGAAGTTTTGTGACATGTTCAAAATAACCCAGCAAGCTGGCAGCACAGCTACACCTCCTTGTTTTCAGTCTGTTTTCCATCGTATCACACAACACTTATGTACGTATGTATGTATCTTTGATGCGGGGGCATTCTCACTTCCATTTCTTGAATTTAATATAATTTCAAAAGGAGCACAGACGATTAAATGACCAACAATCTATAGACAGGCCTCACCTGTTGATCCATTGGTATAAATTGTTGAGGAACGTTTATGTCCAGAAACAGCTGTGATAGCAATATTGTATTTATTACCAGCAGTAAGGTTACCAAAGGCATATTCATTCCCTGAAGTACTTTCTTGAATGTGGGCCTCCTGTATCTTTTTGCTGTCATCAAATAACTGCACCTCATAGCCCGTGACTCTTCCAGAAGAAGTCCACGAAACATGCAAGCTGGTTGAAGTAGCCTTGTCTTGACTGACCTCAAACCTTGAAGGAGGTAGAGGGTCTGCAAGACAAAAACCGAAAAAAGAGAATGTGGCTTGAAGGCTTCTGCAAAACATGCTCACTTTGCTATAATCCAGGTTCATTTTCCTTAAAAAGTTTAAGCATCTGTTGCCTGTGCAAGAAACTGGTATTTTACTTCACTTCCAAACTTACCATTTCATTTAAAAAAGAAATACACTCAGATATTAACCATATAAACTCCTTTTTCTAATATAAAAAATTTTTTTTCTTCTGAGCTTGGAATTCCAAGGAAGGTGACATTTTCGTTGGATTGCAAAGTCAGCACTTTTCCGACCTCGACAAACATCCAGGCTATGCCTGGGTAAAAATTGCAAATCAACAGAAAATGCAAATGTTAAGAACTAATTTTGAAATTTGTACTGAACTATTTTTTTTAAGTTGTGGATTTTCATGGCATAAGTAGAGATGACTTATGGTTGTTTCCAGATATCAGGAAACCACAAAGGATACAGACCTAGTTAAGGACCTCGGCTAGGTTTGCTCCCCAGAATGAATTGTCCCAACAGCTGGGGTGGCTTATGTCACCAAATTCTCAAAACTTGAGTTCTGGGACATTTTTGAGCTACTGAGGCCCACAGAGCAGGCGGAAATGGGTTAGTACTGCACTCAGCTGTTCATTTAGTTTCAACTCTCAAAGCCATGGGTCAGTTGGAGAAGTTCCACTTCCCATGCATTGAATCTTGAAACAGGATGAACAGAAGAGTATCTCCAGGTTAGAACTAAGTCGACAGCATTTAGTGAGCAGCCCCTGCTCGATGCAGCGAGACCATTGGAGAAAATGAGACTCTCCCGACCCTGAACGCTGAGAGTAGAAACACTGAGAGACGTTTACATCTGAGTAATTTTCAGAAATTCTACGTGTGCTTGATCTAGAAAGTAGGATGAAGTTAGTAGAAACTAGATTTCAACAGTCAGGGCAGATATTTTAGTGGCATGGCTACAGAGATCTCAGTCCTTATGTACCTCTGGGGAAGTTCTAGTTTTCTCACACAGTGACTGCAGGAATTCTAGAATGTTCTTAGAATAATATATGTTTTAAGAAGACATTCATTTGTGAATAACATTTATACAAATAAGAACAAGGTAATTTTATTCTGTTCAAAAGGCATTTACGACCACACAGCTTGTAAAACTATTTGCGGGTCACCACACATAGGCTACATTCAGCCTATGATAAATCTAATGTCTTTGTGTTTTGGTCTGTGATTTTAATGAGTACATCATACTGCAAAACTTGAACAAGCCACATAACATTTTATATGAGCAATAATGAATAATAATGTAAATATTAGCCAACAAGTAAGCCAAAGCAGTTGTAACTTCACGAGCCAAAAGCCCGGATGAGCTTGGAGGATGAGGTGGTGTGGTCAACCCCTGAGCCCAGCACCGGTTCCCCTGAGGAGGGCAGGGCTGGAATCCTCTTCCCTGTTCTGTAGCCGTGTTCTCCGGCAATTCCTTAACTTCCCTGTGCCTCAGCTGTCTCACCTTTGCAGTGCTGCTGATAATACTATCATCTTAGTAGAATTGCTCTGAAGATTAAATTGAATGTTTTATCTAGAGCACTAAAAACAGCATCTGGTACATGGTAAGTGTTCGATGTTGGCTAGTATTATTCTTACTCCTATAAGCAGGGGAAGATCTTATCAAAGCAGGAAGACTTAGCAGCAGAGAGGTTGGGCTTTGGAGTTGAACAGAACTCAATTCAAATCTCGGCTTCAGTCTTAAGACTCAGGCAAGTTACCCCGCCAGTCTAAGCCTCCCTTTTCCTATCTGCCTGGGGAGAACAGTAATAGTACCTACATTCTCTGATATTTTGAGGAATAACAAAATGTAGATTTTACCTGGCATACAATTTAATTTAAATTAATTTTGTATACTCAGTAATTTGAATTAATACTGTCTACTCAGTAATTTAAATTAATTGTCTACTTAATCATAAAAATATCCCTCTGAGTCACTGACAAAATGGAGGCAAAAATGGGATACAATTTTTAAAAAAGTGATAAAAGCCTAAATTGCTTTCTTTATTAAAAAAATACCCAGATGAATATCTTATCAATTTATTCCCATGAGCTAACTTTCTAATCCTTAAGATAAAATAAAAAATTCCAAAAGTGATTCTCATTTATAAGCTCTGATGGAAAAACAGTTTTTTATTTCTGGCAATATCATTTAAATTTTCTATCCTACATTATAGTCTATAACCAAACATGTCATAATAAAAGGAAAGAACATAATTTCCCCTCACAGAAAGTTTTCTTTTTTGCCTGGCAAGGATAAGATACTCCACTGCCATAAGATTCTAATAGCCAACAAAACTCAAGAGCAACCTTGTCATCGCCAACCAAGATGACATTTTTTGCTGAAGAGGCATTTTAAGGACAAGGATGAAGGACAGCAACTTTCCAGTGGTGGTTCAGATGAGACCAAGGTTGTACTGTTGTCTCCATCTACAACTCAGCCAGACAAAGGCCAAAGAAAAAGATGTTATGTTCTGTATAATCTAAACATATATAATCTGCAAAATATGAACTATAGAAAGTGAATTTTAAGGTCCTGTGCCTAGAGGGTGAAGTTCAGAAATGCAGACTTTATCTAATCTCTCTGAGCCAGAAAACAAAACAGTCAATCCTTTGTACATCCGCTAGAACAAAGGAACAATGAGACTGGGAAGTGCCTGGGCTGGGAGAACCTGCACTGGAAACAAACACTTAAAACCCCATTTTTGCTGTGATAAAGCCCTGTGCTGGCAGGGGTCCACCAGCCCGGCCGCCCTTTGTGTCCAGACATCTTTTCAATGTAAGCCCAAAGAAAACTCAGCTGTATTAAAGAAAAAGTTTTCAACGTTTCATTAGAAGCAAATTAGATCCATCAGGGGTGCTAACTTCATACAGAAATACATACAAATTGACATTTTAAATGTTACTAGAAAGTTTAGTTACATATCTGTAATCTTCTGAGCAAAAGAAAAATGTATGTAATTAGAAAACCTTACTTGGCTTCTGTCTAAATGATGCGGATGGCAGAGGTATCAACACACATATGTGTGCATTACAGCCTTCCTGGGTTTTCCCACATCACCCCCAAACATACAGTAACCAGTGACGTATTATAAACTAAGGGAACTGTTGAAAACTATAAATGGATGATTTAATCTCAAGCATACATCACAATTTACCATTAGCCACACATTTAAGACATTTGTGCTTCTTAGTTCCAGACAGACCTGGAATGGCAAATGCAAAGTTCTGCCATATTCATCTGCTATATTTCAGTGAGTCCACCAATATTAGGAAGCCCTACAAGTTCATAAGTTGGCTTGATGGCAACCCAATTGTTCTGTTCTCAGAGGAAAAGATGCAGCTTAGCTAAATTCCTGAACCAAAATGAATTTTCCTTTTTTTTTCCCTTTTTTAAAATGTGACTTTGGAAGAGGGAGAAACTCACATATATATACATATATGTGTATATACACATACACACAAGTATGTATATATAATGAAAGTGATATTTTCTTTAAAAATTCTTTTGGATGGCTATTCGAACACTACTATCTATCAATAAAGGAATTTCCAGAGTGTTTAGGTTTCAAAGTGATAGCATTTATTTTGCACACAAATTCAACCTTATAACAAGAGTGCAGACAATGCATGGGTTAATGTCAAATGCTATTCTCAAAGTCCTAGGAGCACCATGGTATATCTGTGTCAGATCTGGTAGTTTACAATATGCTTTCTCATTTTCGAAAACCTGCACCAACGGAAGGTTTGTGGCTTTTGCACCACAGAAGAACAAAATGGAAAAGCAATTGCTCACAATCTCCAGCTAATGAAATACATCTCTTTTACTTTGTGATTGTTGCTGTTTGACTATACTACGCAGCTTTCTGACTTATTTTAAGATGACATACTGTGTTATGCTAATACATCCAATTAACATGCATTGAATTTAGCACCTTAACACACCAGACATAAAATTCAGGTAAGAAGGAACTTTTAAAGTTTTAACAACTCTGAAAGGCAACTAAAGCAGTTTTGACAATTATTTGCATCATCAGTAACAACAGAGCAGGATACCACATTATCTTTTCTGACTTTAGGTGTGTAAGAAGTCGGTAGTCCACCCTCTGAGAGTTGACAGTCTACTCAGGCAGTTAACACCTGTGAGAAAAAGGTAAACAAAAGGTGCACTATCAGGGAGGCCGACTTCAATGTCAGATGAAACCTGCGCTCAAATCCCAACACTGTCAGTTATGAAGGCGACTTTAGGAAAACTGTTTAACTTTGCTGATGCTCAGTTTCCTGTCTATAACATGGGAGCAACAATGCTATACGGAGTTGTACATGCTAAGAGGTAAGAGAGGTACAGTGGTAAGTGCTGGCCAGACACATGTTGGGCTTTCAGTAAATGGCAGTTGGTATGAGTGTTGCTGTTGTCAAGAATAACAGAGTGGGCATTAATGCAAATATGCAAACGAAGAATGATAGCCAGGAGCTAAGGGCTCAGAGGTGGGCTTCATGAAGGAAATGAACTTCAGCAAATTTGGGAGCTCAAGTAGGACTTAGAAATCAGACAGGGGAAAAGGCATTTCAGAGTGAGAGAGCAGTTTAAGGTAAAGCCGAAAAGCGTCCTGTCAAGGTACTGAGGGTACCTTGACAACTGATGGGGACTTTAGCCCCCTCACCCCCGTGATGCCCTCCAGGAGGCCCAATTCCACTCCTTGGACAATGACAATGGAGGCTCTCTCAACGTTATCCAAGTGCCCCAAGTCCCTGGCCTCCTCCTCCACTCAGACTGTGTCTCTCATGCAGAGGTTCATGCGCTGTCACTTGATGTGTGCTTTTGAACCTGAACATTGGAATATCAAGGAATTATTGTTAATGTTAGGTATGATAATGATATTGTGGTTGTGTGAAAAATAATCTTATCTTTCAGAAATGCATACTAAATATTTATAAATGAAATTTAATGATGACTTGG